GTGGATGGTATCGATCACACCGTATGTAGTCGTAGTGCCTGCCGCGCCGGATTCCACGATGAATGACTCGGCTTGGTAGAAGTGGATGTGGAGTGGAGGTGCCTGGGTGGGGATTAGCATTTGCCGTGTACTTGCATGCACGAACGAAAAAGAAGAAACACCGACTTGAGGATGCTGTTTCCCCAGCTTCGTCAAAGCATGCCCGCCAAAATAGGTCGCCCGCATCAAGACGGTGGCGTCCAAGTCGGCGGGTACCTGCAGGAACTCGATGACAAAGGAGCCGTCGAACATCTTGTGCGGGCCCCCGAGAGGGGCGGGGAGCAGGGGTTCATCGCCTGCGGGACGTAGGATTGGCATTTTTACCGAGTGATCACACCGAGAAGGAGCACAGGCTTGGAAGTTGACGGGGGGTGCTGGCAGGAGCTCGCAGGAGCTGGCAGGATACCACGGCGGCTTATAAGGGTTGATGCACGAGGCTAGCGGGGCCCAACCGGGCTAGTCCACTTGCCCTCAGCCCCGGCCGTATGCTGACAAGCTATACGAGCCTGGCGAACCCAACTCCATGGAGCAACGTTAGTCATGGACTTGCTCTCTTCTTTGTCAGTCTGACAAATGGAGCCAGATGGGAGTTGTTCTCGTTTTACGAGTTGGGCTTGCCTCCGAAGCAAGAGGACGGGGGCGTGTGGCAACATGATTTGGAATTTTGGACAGCACAGTCTTAGGGTCACAGAGTCGAGGTAAGGTCTCGGGGGGGTTGCCTGTGGTCTAGAACTATCAAGATGTAAATGCCTGTAGATCAATCAAGACATCGCAAAGAGTGAGTTGGCAGCGGACAAGGATTCCGCCATTGCTGCCTCAGGCCTCACGCCCAGCTCCAGCCGTAACCAACTTCCAAATAAGGACTAGCGGGATCATCGACGGCGGACTAGCCCGCAATTTCCGCCTTCGGGCAAAATCGGCCCCATCGAGGGACTTTTTCGTTCTTCAAATTCTTACCTGGGTCTCTTCTGAGTTTTTACATAGAAATTCCCTTCTTATCATTCTTAGCTCCCGATTCCATGGCACACCGCACTGGAACAGAAACGAAGCACAATTCTGACGCGACTCGGAAAGTGCACCGATGCGGGCTTCACATGGGCTTCAATTCGAATTGGTACATAGAACGGCGCATTATTCTACTGGAGTGGGGCTCTCCGCTGCTGTCGTCGCAGCTACAGAGGAAGGCTGAACAAACCATTCTTTGGCAAGATAGTTTGTACTTCGTGGTCATAATTCTTCGTTAGGCATGCAGCGACATTCAGATCCTGAGAATGCACCCCTCATTCAACAACCTCCGTAGTCTCCGGCTCTCTGGGTCCTTTGCTTAGCCCCGGGGAATCTTGCGTCGTCCCCGGCTGCGGCACGATCGTGTAACGCACGCGATTGCGCAGGAACCACCTGGATCCATTAGTATGGACTTCACACGAAGTGCATTGGGGCACGGGACGAGGGAATCGACATACCATAGGGCAACACTCAACACCGCTATTGCCGGCACCCCCAGTCCCACACTCAAGCCTATGATCAACTTGTTGTTCTTGCCATGGTGCTCGTGGGTTGCCGTACTATTGCCACCAGTCGCAGAACTGCTGGCCGATGTGGTCTGAGTCGGTGGAGGGATATAAGACACCGGGCTTCCGGAGGTCGCGAGCAGCGTGCGCGCCCCCGATCCAAAGGGGCTGGCACTCGACAACGAGGCGAACGTGTTCGCTGGGAAGGTCGCTGCTGCCCCGGACGCCACGGTCAGAACTGTGGTCAACTCGGTCTCGATCGATGTGGTGTTCTGGAGCGCGACGGGGCAGTTGACGAGACCGCTGGACGCGCACTGCACGAGGGTATACCGGGTCACCGTGGAGAGCGTCGTGGTCTCGAGGCTCGCGTCGCGCTGCGCGAGCGTGGCCGACGGAGTGATCGTCGATGAGGCTGTCGTGGTCGTCTTGCTGCCCGCGCAGAGACTGGCGAGGGTGGTGTAGAAGACCGGCACGGTGGTGTTGGGCGAGGGCCCCCATTGATACGTATCCACCGCGACGGTAGCACCGGCCGCCGCGCCCACCGCGAGGGTATATTCAGCCACCGCTTGGAACGCGCAGTCGGCGTCCTCGCTGGTCGTGCCGTTGACCTCCAACTGGAAGTCGGCCACGTAAGCGAAGACCTCTGCGCCAATGCCCGCACTGAAATTGACGGCTTCAAGCACGGAGAGCGACTCCGCGGGCGCGATGTCGAATCCCACGCTGGCCTCCAGCTGTAAGAGGGCCTGGAGGCTTCCGTAGCCCTGAATGGCGATCGGCAGGAATTCAACTTTCCCTCCGGGACTGTTCACGTCAGTGGCACACCCCTGGCAGCACTGCATTGTGGAGAGCAGCGTAGGTTGATTCCCACAATGAGGGTAGACTCACAGTGTAATGTCCGACATCCCCTTGTTGAACAGATCAAGCGCAAGCACCAGCCCGTCGTCCAATTTGATATGGATCCCACTACTAATATCGACCTCCGCCTCGGCGACCAACACCAGCGAGACCTTGAACAGTGCGCCCGCGTCGAGTCCCGGGATCGAGATGCCCACGATGCTCTCCGAGGTGAACAGATTCAATGTGTACGTTCCACCAGCCGACAACTGTACATCCAGCTCCAGGTACAGCTCCAGATTGTCAAATTGCAACTCAGCATGAACGCCAGGGAAGTCCTGGGTTGTATTCAGAGTGAGGTCGAGATTTAGCGTTGGCCAGGCGGGCATGTCGACCAGTTCGAAGTGAGTCACGCCTTCGACAAAATCCTCCGCTGCGTCGCGCGCAAATGTCTTGAGCTGGTTGATTGCGGCACCTGTCACGTTTGCGAGCTCGTCTGTGATGCTTTCCACGAGGTTGGTGACGTTCAGGTTGTCCTCTACGGTAAGGAAGCCGCTGACCGAGCCGTTGATGTAGCAGGACGTGCATATGACAGCGAGGCCTACTTCGACATCCAGAGATCCTTGTTTCGATGTGCTAGACTCACTGGGAGTTGAAGAGTAACGTCAGCTTACGTGTGAGGAATTTTCATGCTGGGCGAGCCGCGCGGTACCTCGCTTCGATCGAGAAAAGAGTGGCGTCGACCAAGCTCTTGGTTAAGGCTGTCTCGTTGAGTCTGTAGGTCGTGCCTCCCACTGCGCGCAGGGCTTGTTTCACTGCAATTGCGGTATCTGGGTCGGGGCCATGATGATTGGGTCTCACAGACGAATAGCCTGTACTAACCGCATGCACGATGCAAAAGAATTGCAGGCAGGCGAGAACGCATCCGCCCCAGTACATCATGATTTCACGCTCCAGTCCCACACTATCGCTCCCCTGCCCCAGCTCCGGGGAATCAGACGGAATAAATAGCCTGGGCGAAGACTGTCGCATTGCTAAGCCTCGCTAAGCCCAGCAACTAGTCTGCTGCAGCTCGCTGTGCCGCAGGGCGAGATTAGGCCATCTGCCAGCATAGCCGACACCATCAGCACGCTAGCAGGGGTGAGCTGCCCATTCCCCTCACCAGGATTCGCGCACGCAAATCAGCTCGCTAGCTCTCAGAACTATTTGTTGCTAGCTATCTTGGATATGAAATTGCTCATCTATTTTCTAGCTGGGGTCAGCACTAGTTATGCACCATCTCCATCCACTCAACCACAATGACACCGGCCGACAGCTAGCGATCCCTTCATATTGTGGTTTCCATGGCATCGCCGCAGTCAGCCTAAGCCTTCTCTTAGTTGTATAGCTCAAGGACACAAAGCGGCCGGGATGAAGTGGAGCGACATCACTGCCCTGGGGCTCTTTTCTTAGGCTCAAGAGATGGTAGTAAGGCGCTGCTGCCACGGCATTCCAACTGTATTTCCTGATTCGCACGTTTCTGCGAATACATATACAACGCTTCATGTTGCCTTCACAATTTCCGACATCAGACCCAGCAGAACCGGTAAGAAATGGGTACAATATAATAAATATCGGCATGATGGTTTGTCTTGCTGGGAAAAATGACATCGCCTAGAATCCAAGCACATTTAGGGAATCTTCGGGGGCTGGCGAGTCCTGCCCTTGTCCAGGCGATTCTTCTGTGATAAGCGATTTTAGACGTCCCCTAACGAACACGATGCGTGATGTCAGTTCCCAGGGCGCAAGATTGGCAGACCTGTACACACAGTAGCACATACACGTCCCGTTCTCCCGGATCAGTTCCATCAAGTCTTCATGGCGATCGCGCAGGGGATCCAACATCGCACGATCGGAGTCAAGACTACGGTGGTCTTTGATCCCCCAATCGCATTCAAAACAATACCAGATATGCCCGTGACTATCAGAGCCATAATCCCAGGATAGCTCTGAAGAAGCCCGCCAAATGCACTGCGTATGTCGACCGTGGAAATGCTCAATCAAATCTATTCTTTACCGTCTTCCGTGCAGGTGTACGATGACATGGTGTTCTCGGTACAATAAAGAGTTGATGCTTGGTGATCATGGAAGATGAACATTGTAGGGAATTCAAGATGGGAGGCTATCTATCGTGATAGTATATAAGAGGACACAATTCTGGATCTGCGTCGTCACATAGATGTCACCAACTGCATGTGTACTTACAGAATGCGTGCAGTGCGTTCCGTGGGTGCGATGTAAAAGGCACCTTGTAGCTGCTGAGCATGTGAACATTAGCTCATAATGGTACAGGTTTGATAACCCTATACCCAATCACTCGTTTCGATAAGAGGAGATTGAAGCTAGATGTCAGCACACTACACCTATGGGAGCAGCTGTTTCTTCTTTCCGGGTCCTCTCTTGATCGTTGTTGGCCCATGGATTTTCATATGAACATATCTCCGAAGCTTGACAGAATGTCGTTCTGTGTCCCGTGTATCGACACAGACGAGCCACCGTTGTCAATTTGTTCAATTTCTGGTCTGCTTCACAAATCACTCAAGGCAGTGAGAATGTCAGGATACCCCCCCCCTCGCATTAGACCTGCTCACTACCGGCCGACTCCTCCCGCTCACCATCCTCATCAACGTGGAGGGTATCCCACTTCTCTAAAAACCTATCCAGGTCGACGTCATCCAGCTGCGACCGGTCACCACCCGTTTTGGACAAGGAATTCGGGTTCGGGTACAGACTCTTGAAACGCTCGCGGTCCTTGCTCTCCCACATCGCCTGCTCGAACTCGGTGAAGAGGGCGTCGGTCTCGGGCGGCAGCACGACGCTGTTCTTCTGCGTCGAGACCTGGATCATGCGCAGGATCCCCTTCATCAGGGTCCATTTCCGGGAAAGGGCGCGGGCGAACACGCAGAGCTCGGTGAATGAGGTCTTGTACTCCGGGTCCGGGTGGTCCAGCACCTCAAGCAGGGTGAACAGCGCCATGCTCACCCAGTGGATGGTGGTCGGGTGGATGTAGTCGATCCCCCAGCGCGTGCGATGGATGCGCAGGAGGCGTACGATGGCCAGCGCCGACTCCACGCAGAGCTTCCGCGCGGTGGCGGCGGTGGCGGCGCGGTCGCTCTCGTCGTCGTCGTTGTCTTCTTCGTCGGCATCATCAGGGTTAGCTTCCCCCTTTAGGAGGCCCCAGAGCATGATTATGAGGGTATGGTAGAAGAAGCTGGATGATGCGTTAGTCCATTTTCCATGGCCGCATGTAGTTTCGAGAGTGAGAGAAGAGAGTGGGAACGGAGCTGAAATCGCAAGACTTACTGCAAGCTAAACGCCTGCGGGACAGAGCTGTTTTCGAGGGTCAGGCATTCTGGTAGTTGCGCTCTCCAATCATCCAGCCTTGGTTGCACCTCTTTCAAAGTCCGGTGCAGGTCGCCTCGTGGTAGTTTTGACCCGGTTCCAAATATCGATTTGTTGGTATCCACGTTGATTTTGCTCAACTCACACCAGCTGTTGAAGACACAAGGGATATGCGATTGCAGTGGGGTGGCCTGTGGCTGGGGGTAGGGCGACCAGGTCTCATCTTCGGCGTGATCGCATGGAAGAAGGGGCCTTCCGGGCTGCTCGATGGCCAGGTATTTCATGTATGCGATCGATGCAGTCCTGGGAGCTGTGAGCCAAGTTGCGACGCGACCACCGAGATTACAACAGGAGCAAAAGATGAAGATAGCGGTGCAAAGCACACAAGTACGCACGCTGTGAGGCAATAGAGGCCCCAGATAGTATTGTTGACCGCGCGGCTCTCTCGGGTCTCCACCGACGGTGGTCGGTGTCTTTTTGAGTACTCCTGGGCCATATCGTTGATCTGGCTCAGATACCACCATCCCACACGTTCCTTCCCCATGGCTGCCATACTAGAGATGGTTCTTCAGCAGGGGAAACCCGGTTGCAAGGGTCGTGAATGAACTCACCACACATACATCACCCCAGAACCTTGGAGGGTGGGCACATCCAGTTGCCCTTCTACCTTCTCATAGTGTCGTCGGGCCTCCTCATAGAAATGCGCCCCCTTCGAGTTAGGATCATCAGGATCGGCGTAAGCTTCCGGATAGTCGGAATGGAACTGTGATCGCATGGGGGGTTAGTGGCTGGTCCGCAACTCAGCCGAGTAGTCAGTCATCTTACACAGGCTTCTGCAAGAATGCAGTTGAACAGGAACGGAGAGCAAAATGGCGAGTCGAGCTTGCCTGATCGTGCATCCCGAAGGAACAGGTCGCGATCGACCCAGTTGTAAAAGGGGTGACTCCAGGTGAACCAGAGAGAGACAAGATGCGATACCAGGTCGTCGGAGGTGGTGACGGAGGTCCAGGGCGCGGCAGGTACCCGGTACACGGGGATGTCGACCAAGCGGTTAATATCCATGGCTCGGTGGACAGAAACCTTCTTATTGGCCGCATACAGGAGTTCATATCGATCTTCCCCGGTCAAATACTGGTCCATGTAGAGCTTGAGCTCGCCCAGCGGGGCTTTGCTGCGCACGAGATTCAACAATTGGGCGGCCTTGGCGTCCGAGCTGTCGCGCAGCGAGTGGACGACCTGCAGTAGAAGATCGCGCTCCTCCTCGAGTTTTTCGATCTTGCGCTTGTGGGCCAATCGCCGGCGGCCATCGTCGTCGAGATCGAATACACATTGCAGCTTCTGCTTGGTACACCGGTCGCAGGAGGTGGCCCCGTCGCGCACGCGACACTGTGTCGGGGGTTCAGTCGTGCAGGCCAAACAGGTGGTGAACAGGTGGTGACTACCTTGGATTTGAGTCGCTTACACTCACTACACGCCATCGAGGCTTTTCGCTGTGGGGGGAGCGACATGTTGGTGGGTGGCGTCAGATACCCTCGCGCGCCCTCACGCGCCGACGGGGCGGGGGCAAGGGGCTGCATTGGAGGAAAGAAGAGGGGGGAGGGTGGACTGAAAGGGAAGGAAGGAAGTTCAAGATGAGTAGACGAGGGCAATGGCCCATTTTCATACTCAAGTACCTTTTCTCCAAGCCAAGCAAGGGGACTAAAGAAGGGAGTTGAGCTCAGGGCTACCCAGGCTGATGCACGGGCGAACTTTGGGGGGGGGGAGGGAAGAACAAGTCATTTTGCATGCTTGAGGGCAGGATATTTATTCCGAGCCCCGCCGGGATCGACCGTCCTTTCCCCGTGAGTATCGTATCTAATCGCTGTAATCTGTATTTTACCGGAAATCAGCTCCGTGGTTTACATTAATGAGAGTGCGTGTGAGAGTGGAAACGTTTGCCGACTGACCCTCACCCTTGCAGCACTTTGGCCACTTGGCAGCAATCGATCGACAATCGATCGACACTCCAGAGGCGAGCCCATCCATTACCCTCTTACCCAATTCGCTAGGAATGTGAGCACGGTGAGAAAGAATATAATCCACAACCCTCGTCCACATGAGCAACCTGAAGACCTAGTTACCATCGTCAATAATGCAGCTTGGAAGTGGCCAGTGGATGAGTGCGCCCTCCAGTTAGCTTGAGGCGTCGGCTATTCTTGCCCCAGGAGCTTTCTCTCTTGCCGGCGGCGAAATTAAGGCTAGGATCGCATACAAGCACACAAATCAGGCCAGATGTTGACCGACGCATCAGAATTTCGAGGCCTAGTTTTCGACACCCCAGATCCTTCCCGTATGGCAATAGCGCTACACCTGTGGTCAATCTTCAGGCAAGGGACTGATTGAACGATGGTTTCTATTCGCACCGCTTGTGCTCTTAGCTGAATGAAGGCACGCAAATCTAGGTTGAATTTTCTTCTATGCATTGACGTCAGTCCGCTGACTAAGAGATGTGTAGCTTCACAGCAGCCAGGCTCGTTACTGTTCCGTCCTGAACCGTCATGGGTATTCTGTCTCTCGTACTCGTTTCAGTGTTCTAGACCCTAATAACACTCGCCACGGTGGCAACCAGCTCCCCCTCATTCGATTTATGGGTCTTACATCACCATCAAGGGATAAATAAAACACCCCTGAACAACCCAGTACATAGCACAGGGGACAAATACAACATCAAGTTGCGAAATGCTGTCTGACATCTCATATACCGGCATGGTTTATGTTTACTGAGGGCTATACATCATCATGATGTGTCCTCCAAATGAGGTTGGGCCATCCTTACCACGGAGCCTCTCGCTCCCAGAGGCAGTCTTCACCTCAGACCTGTTCCACCAAAGGGTATCTGGTCATGGAAACGACCCGATCCCCTTTCATTTCTCGCCAGCTGGGAATCACAAACCCAGTGCCAAGGTAGATCCAAACCACGGCATACTCCATCAGCAGGCCCATGAGAACAAACGGAGCGATCGGACCGGCGAGATCGTTCCATCGGAGATCGGTCGCATGGAAAACCGAGAGAAACAAATAGGTGATGCGCACAACGAGGAAGGGTAGGGCCAGAGCCATCGCCTTGAGAATCTGTGGTTGCGCGGTTAATACAGGCAGGAACGCTATTGGTGTTTATCGTGAAGACAAGAACCCACAGTATAGCTCATTTGCGAGAGGTCAGGAAGATGCATCCAGAAGTACGCTTGCACGAGGAGCAGACAGGCTTCGAAAACCACAACAATGCTATATCCAGCCTTGACGAGCTTCACCCCCGTTGCGACATCGCTGGCACTGTCGCTCCCTTCGAGGCACCCGCCGGCAATCTGCAGCCCCAGTCCGACAAAGAACAGCATGCGCGAAAACATCAGACAGCGGTTGATTCGTGGGTTGACTACCTCCTTCTCGTGTGCTAGGATGATGCGGATGAATCCCAGGGTCGCGGCGATCAAGGGGAACACGCCCGTATTGAGCAGTATGATCGAGGCGACCATGATGCCAGTTCGGGGTTTGTGCTCAAACAGAATCACCAGAATGCCGGCGGCGACTCTGACTTTCAGATGTGTCAGAATCATCATTCGCTTATAGCATACTCTGAAATCCGAGGGTGTTTGTCGACTTACTGAGCGAGAAAAAGAGTATAATCAGCCATGACATACGCGGCCGCTTGTGACGGTAGTATGCGTGGTATGCTGATACGAAGATGACAGGGATATAGAAGATGATCTGCGCGATGCTGGCTTTGGAGTGGTCGTTGAACATGATGGCGTGGTTGACTGCTGTGTGAATATATACGGAGGATCAAACCGCAACAGATATATTTGAAGGGCGATCGGGAGATAAAGATGTTCACTGAACTGGGAAGTGGGAGAATGACCGAGTCAATGCCAATTGAGGAGTAGCTCTATGATCCATCTTGCTGGACCATTTCACTCCTTTATAAACATTTTCTTCAAGATGCAATGATGCGATGTAGGGCTTCCAGGTGTCGGGGACAAGCTCAGCCTCCGAGGTCTCGCAAGATGAACCCCCTTTTCGGACTAGCGGCGATGTTAGTCATCCACATTCCCCCAATCTTTCCCAGTTGGGCATTGACTCAGCCCCAAATCAACTCCCTTGGCCATCGATCTTGGAAACCTCATGGCACGCAAGATGCAGCCAGTTTAGGACTAAATCCACTCTGACAAGGGAGCCTCGATCTTCTCACTCGCTTGGCTCACCTCAGCCATCTCAGATCAAAGCTTTTGTCTTGTCCACACCGACTGAGGGTTGATTCCACGGCAGCCTTACGGGGCAATTCAGGCCCCACTCGAAAAGCATGGTTGGAGTCGCCGGAAAGTCCAAGGGTTGTAATACCTGTCGAGCACGGAAAATCGCGGTATATGCCTATTCCTCCTCCATCGTTTGTCTGGACACTGAATGTCTCGAGTTAGTGCGATCAGCAAAAACCGGCATGTGCTCGATGCACTCGATCCAATCGAGTGTGTGGCGGGTATGAGCGGAGCAGGGTCTTTGTCACGGTCCAGCCAGGAGCGAAGAAGAAACACGTGTATCTCAAGTCTTCTCCCTCGCCGTCAGAATGGCCAACTGAGGGTTCTCCGCGCTCCGTCGAGACATCGACACTCACGCTTGGTGGGGACGATCAAGCACTCTGCTCATTCAGGGAGAGGGCCCCGGCTTACACGCTGCTCCAGAGACACCACGAGAGCCACAACCTGGTTTTGTCTTTTCTCGCCAATTGTCTCCCACCGGAATGGTCCAAGTCCCCGTCCAAATCGTGGATCACACTTCTCACAGAGCTCCCCATAAAGACTAAAGCCCTGGAAGTAAGCGGTGTCGCCCTCGCAGCCGCAGCAGTCGGCCACAAATTCAACGATCCGGCATTGGTCCGGTACAGCCACAGCCTCTACACCCGAGGACTTCAGCAACTGCAGCGCGCGCTGTGGAATCGCAGGCTTGCCCAGGATGATGCAACGCTGGCTGCTTGCATGGCTCTAAGTCTGTACGAGGCAACGGAATGCCCGAATGCCGGGTCAGAGGGGTATTTTGGTCATTGCCAGGGCCTTCTTGCCTTGGTGGAAGCGCGTGGGATTGAAGCCCACTGCTCCGGCCCGGGCCACCAGTTGTTCCTCGGCGTCCGAATGCCAGGGGTGAGTTCTTTGCTAGCTGGGTCCCGAGCCGACAAGCGATCGAGTCATTTGTGTGAAACTCACCTTCTCGACCACAGATAATCTACGCCCTGGAAAACCACTCTTCGAGCTTTCTATCCGATGCTGCGTGGCTAAATCAACCGTGGGGTCGAACCCCGAAAACCCCCTTTACGCAGGTAGTCGATTGTCTCGCGCAGGCGCCCGGGATTCTCCAGCAGGTGTTCCTCCTACCCAGCCTAAGCCCTGACCAACAAATCGAGGCCTGTTTCCAGCTGATCACGGAATGCTGGCAAATCGACGTAAAGCTGGACATGGTCTATGCTGCCATGCAGGGTGGCAGCTCGGACCCGCTTTACTGGCCGGTTGCCTCGAAAAACCCCCCTCAGGCAGCACCCGAGCATACAGAGAACCTCTTCCCGTTCGTTTTCCACTTTGCAGACTTCGAAACCGCAGCGACGCTCATCCTGCTGTGGGCGGTGCGGGTCCTGCTGTGGTCGGGTCTGTGCAATTTGTACGATGGCATGTTTCCGAACAGCTGCATGCTACCAGCTGATGAGTCAGTGGGGCCGCTTCGAGCCCTCGGCTATCGGAGAGAGTATGTCTCTATGGCCCATCATGTCTGTCAATCGGTTGAGTATCTGATGCAGGATGAATTTCTGCTCGCAGGACCGCTGTCGGTCACTCCGGCGCTTGGAATCGTGATCGACAGTCTGCGGTATCAGCCCGGCCATGCCGCGGTGGTTGCATGGCTGCGGGCGGCCCTGGACCTTGTTCGGCAGAAGGGGTTGGGCGTGTTGGAGCATAGTCGTTGATTTGTCCGATCCGTTCGGAATCACGGAATGTACGTATTGTACTATGTAGCACGGGCGCATATAACATGCAGAAGACCCGGCCTTGTTGTAGGCTTATCAACCCTACTGTTTTCTTGGGACCAATACTTTCAAGGCTATCGACAATAAGAGCCGTGTTGGATGTCGAATGTAACTGTTGTTTGCTACGAATGGGCCCTGAATTGTCGTTCACCGATCGTGCCAGCTGCGCCAGCCCACGAGCTCCTGTATTAGATCGCGAGAGAGACTGCCCAGAGTTTGTGACTGCTCTCAAATAAAGGCGCCAAGCCCCGTCTAGATGCGGAACCAACTCTGGTTGGCATGTGCAGTCTAACCAAGTGGACTTGTGTTGATGACCGCGCCGGGCCGGACTTTAGGCTGAGCAGGAAAACTAAACTCCGCTCGCTGACACTGACGTCGACCATGAAGGGAGACGCCATGGAAGGCGTTAGCAAAGCCCAATGGCATAAAAGGGGCCTGTCGCCTGGGAATGCGGATCAAGCGAAGCCGTGAAAGCATAAACATCAAAGACCACATTACTCAGTTCCCTTTCTGACCCTTGTATCCCGATTTCTTCTTCCTTTTCTTCTCCTCCTCTTCTACCCGAGACCGACCGGCAAAAAATGGCGACAAGAGTCATTGTTGTGACTGGTAGTGCTTCAGGTATGGGCCTCGCAACGGCTACCAGCCTTGCCAACAGTGGACATCATCTGGCGCTCTGGGATATCAACAGTAGCCGGCTCGCGGAGGTCGCAAAGTCCCTTCAAGATCAATACGCGGGCAAGGTTTTGGCACAGACCGTCGACGTTTCGGACCGTTCCGCGGTCAAGGCTGCTCTCGCGGAGGCACAGCATCACCTTGGCGCTATTCATGGGATTGCTAATTTTGCGGGGACCGGAGGTCGACAGCTGGGAGTGGAGTCGATCTGGGAAACCAGTCCAGAGGAGTACGATTTCATCGTCAACCTGAATATCAGAGGGCTGTTCAACATCCTGGGCGAGGCTCTGACTCCTGGCTTCCTGGGTGAACTGCAAAGCGTCGTGCACGTTGCGAGCATGTTCAGTACGCGGGGCTACCAGAAGGGGGCCGTCTTTGCTGCTAGCAAGCATGCCGCAGTCGGGATGGTCAAGAGTGCAGCTCTCGAGGTGGGATGCAGGGGCATCCGGGTGAATTGTCTGTTGCCGTATGTTCATCCCTCTGGTCTTACCCTACGTTTTCTTGCCGATTTCTCAGAGACGAGTACAGTGGAGCTATCGAAATGCCGATGTTTCATGAGGTTAGGAACAACGCTGGTCTTTCTTCCTCCGCATCGAATACGCCGATTCCTCGGCCAGGTCAACCGAGGGAAGTGGCAGATGTGGCGACGTTCTTGCTGAGCGAACAGAGCAGCTATGTGACAGGGGCGGTGTGGAATGTTGATGGGGGCGCAAATGCTTGAATGCAAGTTGTGTGTAGCGACATCAAAGGACTGTTTTTATTGGAGTCTGTCGGAGTACAATTCATACCGTATTGATTTGAAAAGGATACTAAACTTCAAAAACAAAGTCTTGTGATTGACATCACATGTACTAAACCCCTCTCGCGCCTACCTGTCCAAGCTTCCACACCAGTTCATTAGATGCAGAGGAATTCAATTGCTCTGGATATCAATACTATTCTCAATACATCCATCCTCCGCCTTTCTGAGGCGTTATCACACTTAGTGCATGTCTGAGCTGTGGGGAGGAACTTGTGCCGTATGGTATACACTACTGTAGAAGCCTTGCCATGATTGATTGGGTTGTGAGGGTGGAGACCGTTCGGCCAAGCTTCCTTTTTCTTTTTTTGTTTTTTTTTTTCCTTTACCTCGGCTGATTACGCACGATCAAACCCAGTTTATGAAGACATAACTAATTTTCCAAAGGAGTGCAGTTACATACTAACAGCATAGGATTAGTCCTATCTGGCGCCAAATTCAATGGGACTACGGAGCACTTCGTAATATCATTTTCAACCTGATTTCACCGCATGAGAGGAAACGTCGGCTCTGCAGGTGAAAATGCTCATTTGCCTAATGCGGGAGATTAGGCGGCCTCTCGATCGCGATAAGCCAATGAAATTGCCGGCTAGTTACTGTATGCGGCAGTTCTCATAGAGGGGAGAGGCGAAACTGAAGCATAGATGTACGGCCCAGTGCAGCGCTGCATAGCCTTCCTGTACCTATTCGCCCTACAGCACGTGGACAGTTCCAGAATCGCATTGGAGTGGTCCGCCTTTACTCGGTGGTTGGATCGACGGTTCGGCTGAGATCATCACCCTGATCTCGATCCCTGGTTCTTGGCATCCCAGTCCACTGGTGACGCACAAGAGTATTTGGGGCTCGGATCGTTTATCACTACAGTTGTGTGCCAAATCTCAATACGTGTAGCTATTTTTTTTTAGTAGCCACAGGCTTCGCAGTCATTGCTAGACTCTTTTAATATAATCATTTCAATGGACGAGGTAAATAAGTACTGTACTGTACTCATGCTTTTGTTGAAGCAGTAGCGTTCGGTCTACTGACTTCACTCAGCACTCAAGCCCATCTGGCTACGGATTAAGTCTCATAGTCTTTTCAGCATGTATATTCTATGTCGCCCTGGTCATGACATCGCTCAAACTCGCCATTCATTGTTGGCTGTCAAAGTCGAGCATAGCCGAGGATCTGTGTGGTCTCGGGGCCATTGTAACCTGTGCGGGGATGCTTGCGACCATTATCTTAGGTATTGTACTATCTCAATGACGAAGGCTCTCTCAACTCCCGCTAATCAGTCTGTAGGAGTCCTGCGTGGGATCGGCCGCAGGAGCGAGGAAGGCGGGATCGATTATGATGCCCTTGGAAAGGTTCGAGCACAAGCGGAGAAAGATCTTCCACAGCTGAAAACCACCGTCTCTAGATCCAACTGGCCGTGCAGGTTCTCTACATCACCTCCGCTGCGTTGGTGAAACTGTCGATCCTTTTTCTGTACCGCCAGGTCTTCCAGCACATGCGAACCATCATTACCATCACCATCGCGGTGATCGTGGTGATCACCGTCGTCTTCATCTTCGTGGCCATCTTCCAGTGCCACCCGATCGGGCGATTCTGGTTTGAACCCAAGGCCGCACAAGGGGCATGTATCAGCCAGCTCATCTTCTGGTGCGATGTGGCCGTGGTCTTCCTGATCAGTAATATCTGGATCACAGCTTTGCCTGTTCGGCCAATTTTGGGTGAGTCTTCAACGTGGGACATCTCACTGTGAGAACGTGGTTTGAGCATGCTCTAGGTCTTCACGTGAAATGTCGGTTAAGAACCGGTATTCTGCTGCTGTTATGCTCAACGGGTCTATTGTGAGTCCCGTCTATGCAATGATCGATCCGACCGGACGGAACTGATGGACCTAATCAGGACGTGTTCGATGGCAACGATCCGCCTGGCCTACATCGTCAAACTCTACAGGGGCAACGATCCGACGAGAGACATCGTGCCGATCTACTTCTGCTCCGTCGCGGAGATATGCGTTGCGCTGGTCTCTTTGAGTATACCCTCCCTGCGCTTGGCCGCCCGGCGGAAATGGGCGAGCCCGGCCCCATGCTGATTCTCGGGCTCGGCTGCATTACTTGAAGACATAACACTTTTGCAATGTAAATAACACTAATCGCCAATGAAACAAGAGAATACTCAATGGCATATTTCGACAGATCAACTCTACTACTTAATCGGAGGAAGTGTATGATAGGTATGCTTTAGAGCTTAGGTCAAGTAAAGAGCAGTAGTACTCTCGACAACCCTTGTCATACAGGCAGACATACTGGCAAGGAGGCTTGAAAATCTATTTATTAATCAGCAGATCAACATAGAAACATGTCTCATTTTACGTGTACTGACCTGACCTCAGTATACTCTCTCAACATAAACAATGTGGCCAAGCAGAAAGGCTCCGGGGTCAAGCCCTCACAAGGTTTGGGTGTTGCAATGAGATCTCGGAGTCTACCGCTCCAGCCACATGATATCGTTCACCCTCCAGAAAGGGGGCGCCAGCTTCGTCTCATATATCTAGACTTGTCGCGAAGGAGAAGCGATGACGCCAGCGTGAATGAATTGATCCATTCTAGGGAACACAAATTGCAGGAGGAAACCTAATCCAACCACTCCCCAACCCACTTCCGAACCCATTCCGGCTGCACCCCCTCCACCTCCTGCAGTCGTCGACTAACCTCAGCTGTCCGCACCGTCCCCAGCGCATTCTCTGCCTCAGTCTGTCCGCTCAACCCCTCGAAGAACTCCAGCAGTTTGGCCGCCGGATTCCGCGCCAGAAGCAGTTGCAACTCCTTCTCATCGAGCTTCCTACGGTCCTCCCCGCGCCCAGCGGTCTCGACATCGAAACGAACCCGCTGTACCCACTCCCGCAGTGAGACTATCTCAAGCTCATCGACACTGCGCCGCGCCGCGAGTTCCCCGACGATAACAGGGAGGACCTCATCCCAGGACTTGGGGTGAAGGTTAACAGGATGGTAAACCTGCACCTGCCCCCGCGCAGAACCAGCCATTTTCCCACCTTGGGCTCCGCCGAGAAGGGCCAAGTCCACCAACACCTCGGCCAAAAGATCGATTGGGACCCAGTCGATGCGATTCAATGCGGGACCCAATGTATCTGGAAGGGCGTTGAGATGCCACAAACTCCGGACAAGACTTGGGAACCATTCTGCCGGGTTCCAGAGGCCCGGAGAGCGCACTGCACCGGCTACCTGGCCGACGCGGGCAAATGCGAAAGAGAGTTCCCGCTCGTTATGGTTCTCGAATTGCTGCTGCAATTTCTGTTGCGCAGCGTGGGCGAGCAGATGCTCGGCGATGTACTTGCTGCTCGCGTAGCCGTTCGGGGCAGGGGTGGTGGTTGTTATGATAGTCTCGGGGGTGAGGCCGGACTCGGTTCTATGGCCGACGGTGGAGCTAATGGAGGAGAGGAAGAAGAGATGTGGGGACTGAGGGCAGCGAGTTGTGAAATTGATGAGGTTCACTACACCCTGGAGATGGGGCTCGAAGACCGCGAGGGAGTAGTTGAAGTTCACCGTCCAGGCGTTGTGGATGATCAATGTGGTCGTTTGCTGTAGCTGCTTGAAGACTCCGCGCTGCGTTCCGAGATCTGCTCGGCTGAGATCCGCTGTCCAGAAACTCACGCGAGACTCGTCGTTAGCCAGGGGCGTTAGACCATACGTCACCATGCGCTCGTGCTGTATCTCTCGAGCGTGTTCATTGCGGTTGAGGCAATGGATATGTGCCACCGAGGGATTGTGAAGGAGTGCATGGAGGTTGTATGAGCCTAGTTGGCCCGTGGAGCCGGTAAGAACTACCGTCTCTGTTGACGGTCTGGTCGCAGACCGCGCAGCGCAATCCGCGGGCAGTTCGATCTGGCTAGTGAACTTCTGCAGCAGCTGGTCGCGCTCCTGAAGCAAAGTCTCCTGCTGCAGTTGCATTGACTCCCTACCCTGCTGATGCAGCTTTTCGACCGCATGGGTGAGCGCCGTCACGGAAGGATGCAAGTAAATCAGATTAAGCGTGAGAGCAGGTAGATTGAGACCATGCTTCAGCTCTCGGGTCAATGTGATCGTCTGCAGGGAGTCTATGCCAAGAGGGAACCAGTTCTCTGCATTGCAAAGCTTCTCTGCACTCCACCCCGTGATTGCCAGGATAGAGACACGAATGTATTCGGCGACCTGGCTAGTATTATCCACGCTACCGGGCCCTGCCACCATGCCCCCGGTCGCCTGCGCCAACTTCTCAGCGTCGGCGTAGAGAGCCTCCAGCTCCGATGCATAGAGCATCAATGTACCAGCACGTTGAACGGTACCCTTCCCAGCGCGCAACATGGGTTTCTTCGGGGTGTCAAACAGAATGTGGCTCTTGGTAATGCGGGCGTGAGCCGGACAGGCGCTGTTGGCCTCCTGAATGCTTGGCCAGAGCTTCTCAATCATCGCCGCGCGCTCACTGGCACTCGGCGCTGCTTCTGCCTTCCCGAGCTCCACGATCAGCGCGGCTTGAAAGCGTTGAGCACCGGCGACCAAGCAGCCAGTCCTCCCAGTTGGCGGCAACGATATGCTGCTCCATCGAGATCGGGTTCGTCTTCTCGCCGTTGAGAAAGACAATCACATCGTCCAGACGTGACGTTGTGCGCCACAGATCGGCCTTGGCCGGATGCGGATGATGGATGAAGAGGTCGGAAGTGTGGTATTCCTGACGATCAGGGAAGATACTGAAAGGGAACTGGTGGCGTTCATACTCAGGGGTACGCACCATGACCAGCTCATGCTCCTCGCCCGAGACGTGGCGCATCTGCACGCCGAGATGAGGGTGGAAACGCGTATACCGCCAGTCCTTGGTCGGATCTCAGTCGGTCGTCGAGTGAATCGCGGAGATCAGTCCCATCTCCGTGGCACCATAGATGCTCACCAGTTTGATCCGCTCAGCCACAGTGTCACCGATCGCCTGGGGTAGATCCCCGTCGCAGTAACCAAGGAACTCCAAGTGGGTGCGGACATCGTCCAGTAGCTCGGGGGTCTGCGCCAGCTCCGAGACGATCGATGGTGTCACGAAAGCGAAGCTGAAAAGCGTCTGCTGGCGCACTGCCACCATCCCGGCAGCGGTAGGCAAGCTTCCAGAGATTGGCATCACAAGCGTGACCTCTACAGGCAGAGTAACGAACAGGAGATGCCCTACTCCGCCAGCGTGGAAGGGGGGCAGCATCATGTACATTTTCTTGCCGAAGGCCCATTGGTTTTGTGTCTCAAAACCCGGGGGAGGGTCCAGAGTTTGCATCCGCATATGTTTGACCGCTGTCTCGTGGGTCCATGTGATGGGCTTGGGGATTCCGGTGGACCTTGAGGTATGGATTATGACCAGTAGCTCGAGGGCCGCTTCCGGGTAGGTCTTCGAAAATTCGAAGGGCGGATACTCGATGCTTACGAGTTCTTCCATACCCAGGATATCGAGGACCTGGAGCGAGACGGCCTCCAGGATTGCTGCCGCGGCAGGAGGGCGTGGTACCGGAGCAATCAGCGTGGTGCAGCTGAGCTTCTGTAAGAAGGACTGATGGGCCACGGGGCTGTTCCGGGGCGAAGTCAAGAAGATGTGCCTTCTGTATTAGTTGAGACTAGCAGTGATGTGAAAGTAGTAACGAGACTCACCATACGCAGTAACCCGCTTTCACAGCCCCAAGAATCAAAGCTGGGTATCGCCAATCATTAGGGCCCACGTAGGTGAGAACCTCTCCCTTGCCGGGGCCTAGGTGGCTCACCAGCCAGTGGGCAAGGCCGTTAATGGCATTGGCGAGAACTTCGTATGTGACGGCCTGGTACCCCTCTTCATAGCTTGCGAGGTTGCGGGGGTATTCAGCATACAGAGCTTCTGGCTTGGTTGCGGCAAAGTGGTCGACAATATGCGGCACCAGTTGACTACGAGGGTCAAAATCAGTGGAGGCGTTGAGAGTCATCATGGTATATTATTCTGAAGCTAGAAAGTGAGGCTTCGGAGAAAGGCCGCAGGAGCAGCGAGAGGTTAGGACATATAGCTTCATCGTTCCTATCGTTGTTGAGACAGACAACGGTCAGGGAAAAGTCGAGTCGTGCCAACCCAGCAGCGGTCAATGTTTTGCAAACCCACGAAAAGGAAACAAGAACCAACTCCACTTGCGAAATGATGGTTGGAGATTCGAAAATGTGAATCGAGGTCAGCACTGGAGACTCTGGCATGGAATTGGACTTCTATATGAGAAAAGCAAACAGCCGAGTCCGTGTGATGTGAGTTTCTTTGTTACCCCGACACTAGGTCTTACTTTTAGCCCTTGTCATATGCGTGATTTTCACATTACCCGCCTGGAGGTACGCCACATTTCTTCTCCACCACGGCGTGATGTGATTCTGTCTTTGGGTCTTCTGGATCTGGGGCCGGTCGCACTATGAGAGACAGGAGAATCTTTGGTTTGGAGAACAATTCTAGCACGCATCCGACCTGTCTAGGTAGCTGTTCTCGAAATCGGCGGCCCATGCGCAACGATCGGCAGACAGCCCAAAGACAAATTCGAATGTTCCTTGTCTCACAAAAGAATGTCAATCTTCTGCCAACAAACGAGAGAATCCAAAGTCGAGCATGGTAAAGCACTCTGGAAGTCCGAGAGTGACGAGGAGGCATTCAGACTAGCAGCATACCGCATACTAGTCACATGCAGGGCGGGTCGAAGCCGCAGTCAATAATGTTGTGCTCATCGTAATCGCACAAATGTCTCACCAGAAGCGATGTAATTGACCACCATAATATCCATTATCCGATTCTTCTGGTGTCGAGTATTAACGCTTGAGAAAAGGCATTAGTGTGAGTTACATCCAAAATTGGCGGGTCAACAGGTGGCGGCTTACCAATACTTCAAGTCACCTGGACGGAATGGCCTAGTCTGGGACTTGAATATGAAAGTCCTAAGTAGTGGGTCTTGCTCGAGAATCTGGCGTATGAAACGCTCGTCTTCCGGTTTAGAAGACATCAAACTTCGTAAGTGTGGACGGAAAGACAGTGTGCGACCTGCAGAAAGTGATATGACGATGCAGCTTCATCCTCCTGAGGTGGCCGTGGATATTGGGCGAGCCTCGTAATATACGGAAGGCGGGACTGTGAGCGGGCGGGTGCCGACGTGAATGATGAGCAGACCTCGTGATGACCATGTAACCAAGCCTTAGCTACCTCTGTCAGGCGGAATCTCTAGAGTGACATTTTCTTTGCGTTATGTACCGATACTGATTTCGATATGTCGGAGACAGTCATTGGGCCCAAAGGTGATGAAGTGAAAGATGTTGCACGACATACACGCGTGATTGAAACATCGAGTGAGATCGAATTCCATCAAGGCACGCGGGTTTGACCGACCATTCCCGATCATTTTCCTAGCCTGGGTCCGAGTGAGCCAATGGTCTGGACTCTGGTGGTCTTGGAATGGGATGGAATGGGCATGGCATACGACAGATCCTACTGGGATCAGTTCATAGACCGCTAGGCCATCTACTTGGCGAGAGTGGCAAAACTATTATCAATCCGACCTGGTCAATTCGGCTCTGAGGTAAAGCCCGCCTCACTCAAAGCCCGGTGGCATTTATGTAATCACAAAGGTGGTAGGCGGCTTAATTCGAACTGCGACACGATGGTCATCTAGGAATGACGTCCGCAGTCTCTTTCGTCTCGGGCAAAATAGGTCTGTACTCATGCCCTTGATACAAGGCAATATTTCCGCCGGAACCTCCGCCGGGGCGGACCTGGCTCTCCATCAGGTGTTTCCCAATCCGCAAGCAGGCTCACTGTGTTTTGGATCCGTGGGCGTTGAGAGAGCTTGTAGGCGACACGAGGATTCTGGACGATGTGCTAGAATATCAGGCCTTTGTGGCCCACTCACATCTGGTTTTGGGCCTTGGTAGTGCAGGGCTGTCATTTTGACCAGATTCTGGAGAATCCGGCTCAAGCCAAAGTGATGGTTCAAGTTTGACGGTGCACTGCAGAACACCATGCTGACAAGGCTCTGATCGGAAGAAAGAAAGAAGCGCCCCCTTCTTCGGTCAACTCGAGCTAGAAGAGTTGTTCCAGAGTCATATTAGACCCGATACTCTCACTTACCTTGCAACTCGAGATCAAAATCGCTGGAACAAGGACGTCAGAGTCGTGACTGGGTGTTTATAGGGATGATTATTCGCAGGAGATGGCTCCAGAAGATTGAATAGTTGCCACCGGCAATCTAAAGTATTTCGAGCCCCTGAATTCACTTCTTGTTATCAAACTTTGCGGTTGGGCTATGAAGCAATTTGAAGCCGTTATAGCGATTCTGGAGATAATAGGTAATGTCGCCTTGCCACGGTGGAGATACTGGAGGTCAACCGGAGTCAGTTCCCTATCCCACATGCTCATGAGCCTAGCTAAGAATTTTAGCAGCATTTGTCGCCTAATGGGTATGCCTCCTAGTGTAGTGGGCATCGAATGTAACTATAGATAGTATGTTGTAGGACAGTCGCAATCACGTGATCCTAAATGGCATCATTCTACCGGCCCGGTTAAGATTCAATCCTCCGGACAGTGAATGAATGTCTTCGGTTCCGGCGGAAGATGAGGGCTTTCGGGAGTCGGGACCAAGTGGGAACAGAACCCACTGCGGTCGGAACCGAAAACATTTCCCCTCACAGGCATCCGGTGACCCTAGAAGATGTTACAACCGGCTTGGCTTGAGGCCTGTCGGCCTGGCCTACGTTACTACGGATTCAATTATCGTTCAGAGGCTCCACTTCCCTAAACCTGGAGAAGTAGCCCTTCGCTTCCCCATGGGACGACTCTCCGGGGTAGAAATACGGCCCCACGGCCACTCTGCCCCAGAATGCCTCGTGCTGTGTCGTGATAATAACGAGAACACATTTTTTTCTGATTGATAGTGCTCATCCGCAGCACTTTGGCGCGATGTCCGTGAAAGAAGCCATTGCAGCGACCGACAAGGCTGCCCTAACCCGCACCGCACAGGCGGTAGCGGCTCGCGAATATGAACAACAAGGCTGGTTGGAGAGAAGGTTGAAGCCCAAGACCATCACCGCCCGATATCCCTTCAAGGGCGCCCCTTTGCTCTATGCGACATGTGCGTTCGGTAGTTTGGGCGATGCCCTGTTCGGATACAACTCCGGTATGTCCTACCCCGACCGTCAAGCTAGAAAAAGAAAAAAGAGAAGGATCAGAAAAGACAAGATAAACAAGAAGAACGGCTAATGGCAAGTTCAACCCAGGTATCATGTCGGGTCTTCTCGTGAACCCCGTGTTTGTCGCCCGCTTCTTCAAAGACTACGGCGGTGCGGACGGTTCAACATCCGGGGTCGATCCCTCGATTACCGGCATAGCAGTGGCATGTTTACAGGCCTCCGCAGCGGTGGGCGCTCTCATCGCAGGACGACTCGGCGATATCATCGGGCGCAAGAAGTGTGTCCGGATTGGAGGGTTCATCTACTTCTTCAGCGCGTTTATCCAAATGTTCGCCCCTGGGTTTGGCACCTTCATTGCTGGTCGCACCATCCAGGGCCTGGGTGTCGGGTTTCTGTCCATGACTGTGCCCATCATCCAGACGGAGATTGCTGCCCCGCATCGGCGTGGAATGATGGTGGGGATTGAGTATACCTTCCTCATTGCCGGATACATGCTTTCGTGCTGGGTGGACTACGGCTTCAATTTTCTCTTGCCCGGGAAGATGTCTTGGCAGGGGCCGTTCATCATCCAGATCGTCCTCTCGTTTATCCTGCTAGCAATGTCATTTTATCTCCCTGAGACCCCGCGTTGGCTGGCCAAGAACGGATTCATGCAGGAGAGTCTGCAGACCGTCGCCGACCTGCACGCGAACGGCGATACCGAAGCCGAGCATGTGCAGAAGGTCTTCGTCGAGATCGAAGAGGCTGTCATCTTCGAGAGCAACCTCGGAAAGTCCACTTGGATGGTAAGATCCTCATGTCTTTTGTCATTCAGGGCGATACTAAGACAGTCAACAGGAGATGTTCACGCGATACCGCAAACGGACCATTGTCGGGATCACGGTGCAGATGTTCGCGCAGCTCAACGGCATCAACATCATCTCCTTCTACCTCCCCAGCACTCTTGCCACCGCGGGCTTCGATGAACGAAAGTCTTTGCTCTACACCGCAGCGAACGCGCTTCCGTATACTGCGGCTACAGTCGTAACATGGTGGTTGGCAGACAAGTGGGGTCGGAAGCCGTTGCTCATCCTCGGAGGTGAGTTTTCCCAATCAGTGAGAATCTTATCAGGGCCGGACAGCTAACATTTCCATCAAACCAGGTATCGGTATGGCAATCCTGCTCAGTATCGTCTGCGCCTTCACGGAAGCGGACTTGGACATCCACACCCGCGCGAACGGACAGTACGCCTTCGTCATGCTCTACAACATTGTATACGGGTTCACGTGGGGCCCGATGCCGTGGCTTCTTCCCGCTGAGATTTTCCCCCTGCGCGGCCGCAGCAAGGGTATGGCGCTGGCCACCACCAGTAACTGGATCTTCAATTTCATCATCGGCATGGTTTCTCCGGATGCTTTTGCCGGAATCCACGGGTATTTCTACCTGGTGATCGCCGGGTTCTGTCTGTTCTCAGCTGGGCTGGTGTACTTTTACTACGTGGAGACTGCCAACAGCACGCTGGAGGAGATTGCAGAGTTGTTTGGCGATACGGCGTTCGCGGGGGCGGACGGAGAGGAGATCCGGGGGGTGTCGGAGGTGAGGACCGACCATGGCAAGGATATTGCATAGTGTAAGCATATATGGCCCCTGAGGGTGCAATTCTTGTTCTGAGGCACCCATACTCACAGGGTATGATTTCAAGGCGAAAAATGCCCAAGACACCGGGGTACATTTCCCTCTATTGATGAACTATTCATGAATTTTCGCAGTCGAGCCGACATGATGCATGAAGATATTGTTTTGCAAGTGATTTGACAATTGAATCTTATTCTTCTTTAATGAAACAACAACGGCAGTTGGCTTCTCTCGAAATCATACACCCCCGAAAATGCAGGAGGGGTTATTTTGAAGTCAACCGTGGATTTGTGGTGCTGGATGCGACCCGCGTGCCGTGGAAGCGAGGCATGCCGAATCCCCACCCGAATACGGGCGTACCCGAGCAAACTCACAATCCTTCTTTGTTCCCCCACAAAAAAGGATGGTACTATGTGCTGTTCGCAGATAATTCTGGCTCCTGGTGTATAGGTCTAGAAAGCCTTCCAAACCCAAATTACGATCCCGAGTCTTGTCTCTGTGAGCTTGGACAGATGGCTCTCGTATTCAAACTTCACAGCCACGGCTATATATATTTAGGAAATCCATTCCTTAGAGGCGCATTCTCATGGACCTAGATTCAACAGTCACGTAGCGTTGTGGAACGTTTTCGGAACGGTGCATCATTATCACCATCACATTAACCTCATGGCCCCAAGACAACAGCATAATCCAGCGGCGCGATGTATGTCTGACTATCAACGCACAATGGAACAATTGATGAGATCAGGGCTAACAGCGTGCTACCAAAGCCGCCACTTGCGGGGTATCCCGCCCAACGCAGCAGCAAAAGGAGACCTGCACGGACTACCTGCTCTTCGACGCCACGCTGCAAGAATTCCTAACCTACAAGCGCGACGTGCAGGGACGACCCCCCTGGCTCGACTGGACGGACGACGGCTGTTCAGCCTCGATGGACTACCCGCTGGGCTTCAACTTCCATGACAGCTGTCTGCGCCACGACTTCGGATACCGGAATTACAAGGAGCAGGGGCGCTTCGACCACGCCCCCTCGAAGAAGGCGATCGATGCGCGCTTCAAGCAGGATCTGGTGGACATGTGTCGCGGGGTGACGACGCCGTGGCATCGCATCAATAGTCATTGGAGCTGCGTCAATTGTGCTCATCTGTACTATCGCGCGGTGCGGTGGTTCGGGAAGTTCGGGAGGCACGTCCCTAGAGTACCTCCGTTTAGTAAGAAGCGGTAGAGATGTCGTGATCATACCGTTCGCAAGGTGTTTGTGTATTTCACTCCGCAAGAGAGGGAATATCCTCGCCGGTAGAGATAGTCAATGTTGTAAGTACAATACAGAGTCGGGTGTGGATCATCAGGAATGTTTTGAATTGGGACATCGCCTTCATCCAGGTGACCATTCGCCTTTCTATGATATTCTATGTTGCAATAGCTCTCTGCTGTGGTCAAGTTGATGATCGCATGGATCTGGGTGTGGACGCATCTATTGATGATGAGAAATGCATGGTCTCTATTGACTAGTGGGCGGACCAGGGTAAAATGCAATTGCGAGTAGAAAGGCTAGCTTGCTCCATTTAACTAAGATTGCCGGCATTACCTCATAGAAGCATCATTGGTCTAGTGGTAGAATTCATCGTTGCCATCGATGAGGCCCGTGTTCGATTCACGGATGATGCACTTAGCATTTCTTTTTTTCCCCTTGAACACTTTCGTCTCTTAGCAATCCACGAATCCCAAATTGTCCACTAGCCCTGTAAATTAGCTCATGCTTCACTCGACACCGTTTTAAGCAATATTTACATCTGGCTTGACCTCACAGTGTTCCAATAAATGGATCATAACTAAATAACCGTGTCCAGATCCTAAATGGGGTTCATGGCCACGAAGAACCGACCGATCATATCCCACCGACTACGCGATCTTTAGCGTAAATGAAAAAGGTGGCTTTTGAGCTAATAGAGCCTAACTTTGCTTCCCGACAACCTCGTTGGCGATATTTGGTTCTTTCTATACAATATACTATCATCCAAGAGCTACGTACAGGTTTGACCTATTTGCTTGAAATTTCTCATTCCCGATTTTTGGCTGTTTCGCAAAACAGTTTCCCTTTCATACATAGCCTTGTCATTGCCCTGGCCGATGTCATATGGTCGATTCGGAAGCTAGCCATTTGTCGATATCTTTACTAAGAGTACGGGATGTGACATAGCCTCTTTCACTTTGAATGATCGGTGATTCTTACACTTTGCCTGTTTGGTGCTAATTCGCGGTCGTATTGCCTGCTTCAGGAAGACTACTCCGAGCCACATATTCCGTGACGCCGTCGATTCAACAGGTTCTACACTTCGGTTCCAATTGCTTAGGACAATACGTCCCCCATGCGAGAGGGCGATATATCTCGTAAGCGAGTCCTCAGAGCGTCTTCTCCTACACTGTCCCCGGTGCAACGCGCAATCTCCGTGCCTACATGTAAAGACGACATGGAAAATGGGGCGACCATATAAGGTTCTTACGATATCTCGGCGGGACATCATCACCACGGGAGCAGTCGGCTTTCTCCCCCGCATAATGAATTTGCCGGCACATTGCCCTTTGGGCTTGGCGTGGAATTCAATCCTGCTCTACAGTCCGTCAAGCCGGGAAACATGGTCTGATTCCGGCTCGAATACGTACGTACGGGCTATTTCAAATGGGGTGCTTGGCTCCAGGTGCCCGGGTTATCATTTTCTTCACTACCCCACACTCCCCACGCTCCTTGTCCCGTCAGGGAAGCTCACGCCTGTCTCCGTTGTCGGGTTCTCGGTCATCCGCCGCACTCGGAGCTTTCAGACACAGCATGTAGTTGGAGTTCATAAGTTGCCCCATACCCCAGCCCGTCCAGGCCAATATGAGCTGTAAAACAACTCGCATTAGGGAACAAAGCTGTTCAGTAGAGAAGCACAACACTTTCGCGAGCCATGACTCCGTGGGCGACTTTTGGGTGGCTCGGCCTTGCTTCCCTGGCTCTGGCCGAGTTGAACCCTCCTTATTATGCGGATCTGAGTTGGCAACCCGCGCGGACCTTGTCCAACTGGTCGAACTTGACCGTCGAGACCCGGACCGGAACCTTCATTGGCATGTTGAATGATACCTATCCCAATGTCCGCCAGTTCTTGCGGGTGCCCTATGCGCAGCCACCGGTTGGCGACCTCCGCTGGCTTCCTCCTCAGAAACTGGCGCACTCGTCGAAAAGAATTGACTCGACTCGATTTGGCCCGGGTAAGCCAATGCCTCATTGATCAGCCATGGCAAGGATAGGATTGTCGCTTGATAACAACGGCTGACCTTTTCCCTTCAGCATGTCCGCAGTATGTTGCTGCGGGCGAGTCCATGTGGGCTCAATATGAGCCGCCGAATCTCCTACTGAGTATCGGCGAATCCGACAACCAGGGCTCCGTCGCGTGGTCATCCTCGGAAGACTGCCTATCACTGGCCATCTGGACCCCGGCCTATGCCAACGAAACCTCCCAGTTACCCGTCGCGCTCTTCGTCACGGGAGGAGGAGGGACCACAGGGGGCATCGCGATCCCCTCCCAGCTGCCTTCGAACTGGGTTGCCAACTCGCAGGAGCATATTGTGGTGACCATTAACTACCGGGCAAATATTTTCGGCAGTGGGTACTCAGCTGGAACCCTCATCAGACGGATTTCTAACGACAGAGCTTTGCGCTTCTAGATCCCAAGTCTAAAGCTTTGAAGGAGACATCCTTGACTCTGATGGATGTGCGCGCGGCGGTGGAGTGGGTGTCGGAGAATATTCGGGCATTCGGGGGAGATCCAGAGAACATTATGGTAAGTTTGCAATGACTAGGCCCCTGACAACCGTCTGAGGATCAAGTCTGATCAATCTTTTTCGTATGGCAGCTGTGGGGCCAATCCCAGGGCGCTGCCCTGACACACCTCTACACCCTCGCCTACCCGGATGATCCTCTCGCGGTCCGCTTCGGCGTGATCTCTGCGCCCCCGTCGGTGACCATCAACACCACTGAGACGGAGGACGTCTATGAGGACTTCCACATCGTTGCCAAGGGTCTGGGATGCAACTACGGAGACGACGCCGAGGCGGAGCTGGAGTGCATGCGCCAGGTGTCCTGGGTTCAGATCGAGGAGTATATCAACCGCTACAACGGCACCCCGTCCATCGCGTTCACGAACTATATCCGTTTGTCTCCCTTCCCCCTCTTTCCTTTGTCCCGATCCCCATTCTCTTATTCTTTAGTCTCATGTGTTAGAATACGACTAACGAACGCGGGATATATTACAGCCGACGAGAAGTACATCTTCGCCAATGAAACCGAGCGCTACCGACTGGGTCGAGTGGCTCCCGGGCCGGCGATCCGCTCCAACGCCGCCCGCGAAGATCCCATCACCCCCGGTAATGACACCGCCACCATGGAGACGACCGGCGAATGGCTCTGCGCGTCGTACAAGGATGCGCTCTTGCGGGCCTCACTGGGCCTCGAGACGTACCGGTACGAGTGGGCGGGCAATTTCACCAACATCAGCCCCGTTCCCTGGCTGGGCGCGTTCCATTGGTCCGATCTATTGATGATCTTTGGTACGTACATGCTGGATGTCGGGGAGATCTCGGAGCTAGAGGTCACGACCTCGCGGACGATGCAGGATTATTTGCTGGCGTTTCTCAAGGACCCTGCCACAGTCAGCACGGCGGTGGGTTGGCCAGCGTTCAATGCCAGTGCCCCATCTGGAGGGTTGATTCTGGAGTTTGGGAACACGACGGCCGTGCGAAACGTCACGGGCGATTTCCTGGAGGCCGGTTGCTGGGACTCCAGCGCTCCGTTCCGCATCTTCGGACGCGATGAGAGAGTTCCGCTGGAGTGGAGGGGATAGATCTGGCAACACTCAGAGAGACCATGTGTCTGGCGTAAGATCAAAGGAAAGAACATAGTTTCCGGAGAGCCTTTTTCGGCGAAGTATATGAAGCTTCTGTTCATGATGACTATGTTGATGATTGTTGGATGTGGTTTAGCAGGTGGTAGAGTGAACAATAATTTTATAATATCTGCAACATGAAACAACCCCAACCAGGTGACAGAGCCAAGCTCAATGGCAGTAGTCAGAAGCAAGCTTGTCAAAGACCAACGCGAAGAATACCGCCATCTCAAGATACCTCAAAGAGGTGAACCTGTTCCACACTGAAATACTCCTGCTTACAATCAGTGTTCCCTTCGTGTTGATTGGAAGTATATAACCCGCCCTGATATGCTTTTATTCTACATGTTAGTCAGCAACCCCCCTTCAACTGACAGACCTACAACCAACATGTCTCCGCCACTTTACCACCTCAACCTCGCATACTACGTGCACTATCTGCCGGAGCAGCTCCGCCCCCTCCAGGTACCGGTGCAGCGCCCGCGGATGACGCACCTCAAGTGTGGGCTGTGCCACCGCCTCCAGGAGGATCCGGAGAGCGCGCTGCACCAGTGCTCGAACTGCTACAGCTGCTTCCATCTGGGCTGTGTGGCGCAGCTGAGGATCCACGAGCTGTCGGAGCAGAATGTCCGGCTGGTCTACGGCTGCCCGAGCTGTGGCACGCCGTGGTTGACTCCGCAGCATTCTGCCGAGGAGCGCGGGAAGTCTGCGAGCCCCGGGAAAGAGAAGAAGAAAGTGAACTATCAGTCCATGTACCAGTACCAGCGCAACGCGGAAAACGACTATGTGTGTACTGTCCGCATGCCCGATGGCCGGCTATGCGGGGTGACTGCGGCATTTTGGGATGCGTTCGCGGCGCATCACGCACGCCTGCATGAGTCCTGGAGGTGAAGTCGTGGAGGTGATGTCCTGGAAGGTTGTAGTTCTGTGGAGTCGGTTTGCTTCTTTGCCTGCCTGCCGGTCGTTGATACAGCGCACGAAGAACAAAGTAACAAATCCATGAAAAAATCATGGGGGTATTATTCTAGGTAAACCTGCCGTCGCTCTTATTTGAACTGTATAAAAATCTTACTTTATAGTCAACCATTATAGATTAACGCCCTTTTGACCCCAGCACATACGACCACAGGGTGTGGAAAACAGGGCTTCCCGTCCGCTCAGCCGTACTTAAGCCACACGCCGGGAGGTTAGTAGTTGGGTGGGTGACCACCGGCGAATCCCTTCTGTTGTATGTTTTTTGAGTTACATCATTTTTCACAGGACGAGCCAGAAGTGGCATCTCTACATTACAACATTGTAAGAAGGCTTGCGTACAGATGCCGAAGTGAAAGACCCGGAGTGTCCATCCTCGTCCCCGTCACAATCCCTCTACCCCGACCCTTCCTGTCCCACCCAGTCGAACGTATTCAGCAACTCCAGCCCAAAATGCACCGGGGAGATGGAACCCCAGTTCAGGTCCGTCCAGGCAGCGACCTCATAGTCGCCTTGGGCCTCTGCCGGGACATTCAAGTGGTGGTCCAGGACGCGCTCGATGAGCTGCTTGCAGCTGGCGCAAGACGCGCTTGTTGGGGTCCTCCGGAGAATCCACTCGAGGAAGGCGACCAGCAAGCTGAGTTGCTGCACAATGGCCGAGGGCGTCAACCCCGGAGCCAGAGCCGTAGAATTTGACCGCCCCGAATAGGTGGACTGGAGTAATTCTTGGCAAAGGATGCCGCCCCCAGGGACCCCGTATTCGAGGAGCTTTGCCTCGAGCGTCAGTAGTTGTTCACGTTCGGTACCGGAAAAACCGGAAGGTGTGAAAAACACAGATATACTTACCATCCATTCGAAGTCACGTCGCATGAAAGGACTGCTGAAGGAGTCGCGGCGTTTCCACAGCTCGATGGTCAAGCGCACGAGGCCGAAGCTCGTCAGAAGGAGGTCGGTCGGCGTGTCGGGCGGGCCGTGGGCATGCAGTAAGCGCTCCACGAAGAAGGTATTTTTGAGGTGGTCGAGCTGAATGGTAATCTTGAAGTACAGTCTCTCCAGGGGGAGGGTGGGGTCGTCCAGGTCTTCCGCTCGGTAGATCAACCCTGACGGGAGGGAGGCGGCGGCTGTGATTTGCTGAGTCCTGATTCGTCTATATGATTTAGTGAGCACTCCCACTTCCCTATGGTGTTGGCTTAGGCCACCAACCGAAGCTGCTCGATGTCAACCGAATTATGTTTGTGCAGCGCGATCCCTAAGAGTTCATCTCGAATGGCGGCGATGATATGGCGGGCGCGGATGAGGGTGGCGGGATAGACCTCCCCAGCTGTATTCCATCCGCGGTCGTCCAGTGACTCGATCGCCTGGCTCAGAGTCACCTCATTCGACGCCAGGTCCTCATCGCGCAGGTCGAGGGGCAGTGGCATCGAGCAATAGCCAAGAGGAAGGAGAGGTGGCCGGCCGGTGAACGCCACCCCGAACTTATCGGTTGCGAAAATCTGGGCTGCTAGCCGCCTTTGGTTCTCGGCGCAAAAGGATGGCTGATAAGCATATCCGTTATCAAGTACATGGAGTCCCAAATACGTCAGCATGGTGACAGCCAGGCCGTGGGAGGCGTAGCTGGGAATCCCTACACGTAGTCAGCATTACAGGATAGCCAGATGATGGGATGGTTTCTCTAACGGGAATCTCCGTCCAGAACAGAGTCAAGTACTGCCTTTCGCCGACACAAGTCTAGAAGGAGATCGTTACCCTCAGTGAAAGCACGAGCGAGCTCGATGGAGTAAGTCAAGCAGGCTCGGGCCGTGTCAGGACACCGTCTCTTGGTAACAAAATCCATGGGATTGTTGCGTAAGGAATCGACGTCGTCCGATACATGTTCGCTGGCCGCCCACAATAGACCCATAGATTCCCATCGCAGATTGCTGCCGCAGAACTGATCAATCCACGAGGAGGCACATCGTTCATCTTTGACCGGCTGTCTGGTGTTGTTACACAGAGTTCCGGCCAGAATGTGTAGGTCCGACTCGCTTCCACGAAGATATTGTTTGAACTGCACCTGCAGTGACGCCAGGATACGGTCGATGGCGATAAGAACCCAGCCCTGCCGCTCCCTTGAGGGTGGCGGAAACGAGACTTGATCGTCTAGGTGGTCGCGCAAGCAACGGAGGACGTAAAGAGCCGACTCCCGTAGTGGTGGCCGAAGGTCCCCCCAGGCTACCGGAGATGGAACTCTCTTCCTTGCAGAGCTTGACGGGGAAAGCGTGCGCTTGGCACCGAAAAGATTGCGCTGCGTCTCTTCCAGCAAACTGTTGTGGCTTGTATTCCCAAAGTAGCCATGATTCATGGCATCATCGTTTGCATGCTTTCGGAGGACATTTGGTGGGCTCTCCGCAATATTCCTCTCGGTAGCTGGGATGGACACGCGGCTCTGACCGGAGGCCGCCGTCACCAACGCGGATGAGTCGGAATAAACGCAGTTGATTCTACGTCGTGCTCTCAGGCATCTGTTGCAAGTAGGCTGCGAGCGGTCGCAAGCAAGTTTCCGAGACCGACAAGGCAAGCACGGTGGAAAGCGGCGGTTGCGCGCCATCACTCAGCGAAAGAAGACTATACGCCTTCGAGTGTTGTTGTTCTTGTTGTTGTTGTTAAGACAACTTCAATGGCTTGCAGGCGGGGGAGCGGCAAGAGGCGGGGGAGCGGCAAGAGGCGAGGGGGCGGAGCGGAGTCCGGCGAGCTGCAACTACCAAGATGGCAACCCTTTCTCTCTCGCTCTTCTCTCTTCTCTCTCTTTGTCGGGTTTTCAGTTGTTCCGTGGGTACTGTAAAGACAGCAAGTTAGTATATATTTCATTTTTTTATTATATTTTTCTAAAATTCTTTTTTCTAAAATTTTCAAATTCGCCGCATTGCATCAATCTACACAAAAAGTGCTTCAGAGGTGTCTAAGCAGACTAAATAGTAGAGTAAATCCACTAAGAAGGGTAGACTATGAATAGGAGCGTTGTCGCAGTATACCGCTGGCAGATACCAAGATATATTGGGCAGAGCTTGTGTCACGCCCTTGACCCCGGTTGCAGCCACACCTCACCAATCTTGGGATTTTGTAAACGTAGGGCATCTTATGTTAAAAGTACCTTAAGAAATGCCTTCTCAGAATGTTGATCCTTGCGTCAACAATATAAGAGCTTTCTACACTTTTCCATTCACCTATTCGTGGGTGGGTCCAATTTAGGCACCGTGTGCTATAGGGTACATGACCAGAGAAACGGAAGATTACAAGTATGAGCTTACCACTCCAATAAAGATCAAGAACTCTCTTCTACCTCAATGTTGTGGAACACCTAAATGATCGAAAATATCAATTTCGAATGTTCCCAGTCTCCGCATTTGACAAGATAGTGGCACCAGCATCCAAGAAAAGAACCTTAAGACGAGGAGATACGAGATCTGCCGAACAGTCCGAAGGGGGATTTCCTGTTCTCTCCCCGCGACTGTCTCAAGAAATATCCCAGACCCCCCAAAGAGGAGACCAGCATGAGAGCGCCGAGGTAAACGACGAGGGGCCCGAACATGCCGAACCGAAAGCTGGCGGAACTCTTCGACTCTCGCAGCAGACCCTCGGCAATGGGCGCGGTGCAAATATTGCCGAGTCCCTTGCCGAACGCCATCCAGCTGAAAACCAGTTGCGGATCGTCCGCCAGCATCGAGCCGAAGCGCGGCCAGAGCACCACGTAGACCCCCGCAGACAGCCCATACACCAAGCTAAACACTAGCAGAGGGGCCAGTGATCTCGCCAGCCCCCAAAGGGTGAAGGTGGCCACTCCAGATATCATCCCCGTCATCACCACCAGCGTGAATATCTTGCTGTTACTGAGCCGATCTACCAGGTAGCCCACGCTGAGTTGCCCGAACACCGTCGCCAGGTTCAGAGCCGCGAGGACCAAGGCCCCCAGGGTTCCGGACAAGCCCATGCTGGAGGCCACGCTCGGGAGATACAGCGACGGGATGTAATACGCAAAGCTTTGGGCGAGGTTCGAGACAGCGAGAACCCAGAACAGCGGTCGCTGGACGAAAGCAAACTCGTCAATGCAGCGGGTCGTCGTTCTAAGCTGCTGAGGCGAGGCGGGTAATCGTGGCCGACAGAGGGGCAGGATGGGGACTAGAAGAACGAGTTGGACGATGATGAAGATGCGCAGCGTAGTGCGAAAGCCATACCGCGCCAACAGCCACTCAAACAGGAAGGGAAGCCCTATGCCGCTGAGGCCGCCACCGGCGTAGACGATCGCGTAGGCAAAGGCCCGGCGTTGGATGAACCATTCGTTGAGCATTGACAGGAGGGGAAAATAGATGATCAAGAACCCCAATCCATAAAGCACGCCCTGAGCAGCCATCAGCACAGAGACTGACGAGGCAAAAGAAGCTCCAAGGAGGGACAGGATGCAAAGGCTGGTGCCAAGCAGGACCATGCGATACCGCCACCGAGGGAATCGTCGGACAAGTGGGGTAGCCACCGGTGCACCGAGAAAGTAGATGCTGGTCGACACGGTGCCAACCACAGCGACGTTGGGCGAACCAGCAAATTCGGCTTGCTGCGAATAGTACGACTGGAACACCCCATAGGCCATGGGGAAGCCTGGTTTCCGTCAGCGCCACCGGGATCACAACTAGCAACAGCCGGATGCATTGGATCTTACCCCAGAGCACTGCTTCTACGATAAAGCATGCGAAAAGAAACCTTGAGGCCGCCAATCCCCTGTCTGGGGGAGGGAGAACCGGAATAGACCGACTTTCCTCTCCTTCACCATAAGGCTGGGGTTGAGCAGGCTGCGGTGTTTCGGGAGTCATCTTCTATAGTAGCAACCTATTCAAGGCTACCGAGACAGAGTCTGACATCGGTCGCTTTCAAAGGTGAAAAGCAAAAGTTGTTTTCTTGATGAAGAGCCGATGTTCTGAAGGACATACATTAGCCCCCGAAACTCGGCTTCGGTAGCCTCACCCGTAGCCGGGCTTTTAAGCGAACCCGAGTATCTTTGACCGCGGCCGGGGCCGATTATCGGATATGCCTGTCTATCGAATTTGGCCCCTTCGTGTTGTCTATAAATGGAGAGCCTCTTCCCCACGGTCATGATGACTGTTAAAAGGAAATCATGATAGATCTTAAGGAAGAATCGGAAGCTCCCAACATCCGCCGCCATGTCAACCCGCCCGATCATCCAGGGGAAATATCCGGCGAAGAGACACGTCCAGCGTGTAGTCAGTTTCCTAGCAGAAAAGTCCCCCCCAGCCAATGGCTTCATTTTCCTCTCTGGATGTCCGGATCGATTCTACCAGGACTGTGATCTCGAAATTCCTTTCCGCCAGCATCGAGCGTTTATGTACCTGTCAGGTGTCAATATCCCGAATTCTCATCTGCTCTATGACATCGACAATAGTCGTCTGACCCTCTTCGTGCCGCCCGTCGATCCCGAAAAGATTGTCTGGAGCGGCATGCCTCTGCTACCGGAGGAAGCCATTGCCACGTACGATGTCGATGTCGTGTTACCGACGACAGCTCTAGGGGCTACACTGGAAACAATGAGAAGTCGACGGTCAGTCTCCAAGCCTTCCGTGTTTACAATCCCTGGCCATGTAGGCGAAGGTATCGTTTTCCCCAAGGATACTCACGTGGACGCTATTGCCCTTAAAGAGGCCGTCGACGAATGCCGGGTGGTCAAGGATGAGTATGAGATTGGTCTGCTCAAGAAGGCAATCGACATCAGCTGCACGGCTCATCGGGCTGTCATGAAGGCCGTCCGGACAGCCGCGTCCGAGGCTGAAATTCATGGGATTTTCTTGGGAGAATGTACCAAGCAAGGTGCCAAGATTCAGGCATATCCGAGTATCGTGGCGAGTGGCCGTGCCGCCGCGACCATGCACCCTGAGGGTAACAACCAAAGCCTTTACACGGCTGGTGAACGGAAGCAACTGCTCCTGATCGATGCCGGGGCGGAGGTGGACTGTTATGGTGCTGATGTGGTGAGTCCCAATGAAATACTCAGAAAGTTTTGAGGAGAGCAGCCTGAATGACCACCTGCCAGACGCGAACGCTGCCGCTCTCCGGCAAATTCACACCCGAGGCCCGTGCGATCTACGACATTGTGCTGGAAATGCAGAAAGAGTGCATCGCATCGCTGGAGGCTGGAGTCGTCTGGGATGATCTTCACCTCTTGGCCCACAAGGTGGCCATTCGGGGTCTGCTAAGACTGGACATCCTTAAGGGCGACCCCGACGAGATCTTGGCGGCGCGAACAAGCGCCGCGTTCATGCCTCACGGACTGGGTCATTTCTTGGGCATGGACACTCATGATGCCGGGGGACGTCCCAAGGAGGCCGATCCGGACCCTCTGTACAAAAACCTCAGAGTACGGAGAGAGTTGCCTGCCGGGTGTGTCGTGACCGTTGAGCCAGGGGTGCGTCTGTCCCCTTTCCTTTAGTTTAAAATAGTGGTGTGGGGTGTTAGCTAACTCGAGAAGATCCATTTTGATGAACACACGATCTGCGAGTACCTTCGCGCCCCGCAGCATGCGCAGTACATCAACGAGGCGGTTCTCAATCAGTTCTGGGATGTTGGTGGCGTGTGGTTTGTGCCCCTCTTACAATTCCCCTTCCGAATGGAAGATTTTGACGTAGCTAATGCAAAGCAAGTATTGAGGACGATCTCCTGGTTACTGAGACGGGATGCATCAATCTCACTGGTCTTCCTAAGGACCCGGAGTTGGTGGAGCAGATTGTTACACGGGGCTCAGATCATGAGTAAGGATGGAAACCTAGGATGGGGAAGGAAATCGCTTGCGATCAGGTAGAGTTCCTGGAAAGTTGAGGGGAATCTGGAGGCTGGTGCTATCCTCTATTATATCTTATCCTCCAACAGACATTTTATTACTCTAGGTTTCGATGTTGGCAGGGGAGTTGCATGATCAAGGAGCATTTTGGTACCACTAATATTGCCACCACCACCACCACTATCACATGTCCCGCTACGACGTTTACTAACGCCACTGCTAGCCTGTATTTTTGGAGAGGCATTAGTTATTGTCATTGTAAAATCTATAGAACAGGACAAACCTGATACCTCCTGCAGCTTGTTCCCTGAGCCTCGAGCCACGAATCCGGGCAAACAAGTCTCAATGATGCACTGCGGATCTGCTCCTTCGTCCAGCCATATCGCCACAACTTGCAGGCGGCGACACGGCCCAGCAATTCTTCCCATTGTTGCCTTGTCCGCTCCATCCCGTTACAGAGCAGCCACATCAGCATGTCCATATCCGCCCACGCCAGCGTCTCACCAGTATCTGCGAGCACCATCTCATTGATCAGCAGCCGCGAGTGTGGGCCCATCACCTGCGCCGTGTTCGATAGGATCTTCCGGGCTGCTTCGTCGTTCCAGTCGTGCAGGATCAATTTGGGGTAGTAAAGGTCCGCTCCTGGGATTTCTCTGATGGTTATTATTATTCCTAAGTACAATGGAAGGTGGGGATAGCAGAGAAGGATGAACTCACCCTCCACCGGCTGTGGTGTAAAGAAATCATATACCATCGGTCGAATTCTCGAGTCGAGCCCCGAAGGGATCCCGTTCACCGTCTCCCGGAAATCCTGGAGTATCATCTCACAGGGCACCTCGGGAAATGCCGTTGCGAACCGCTGCAGGTCCACTCCCTGAGAGCCGCCAATGTCGACAATGGTGAATGGCTTCAGGAGTTGCTCTGGCTTGGTGGGAAACGGGGGAGGGAGGCGATCCCGCTCCGGATATTTGCTGTGCCACGGTACCGAGAAGCTTTTGTTCCGGGGGGTCTTGTTATTGTTGAAGGCTTGTTTCCAGTCCGGGTCTGTGGACAGTGTCTTTCAGAGGGTTGTGCGCATGGCGAAGGTGTAGGGAGCGAGCGACTCGTCGGTGGCGCAGGGCTTATGTTGGTTGAGGTACTGGTGGATCTGGCTGGCGAGGGTGTACAGCATCGAGCTTCTGGTTCGAGGCATGCCATTCCGGCTGCACAGTACGTAGTTTCCGGGGGAATGAAGATTGTTCACGTCGAGCGTGGAGAGGAAAGAAAGAGAGAAGTGATAGGGATACTGACGCAATGACCAACCCTCCTATTGAGCCTGGGTCGGATTGACAGATGGTTCGCGCGTTGGTGCGGTAGCTCTGATAGCCAGTCTCGGTGGCCAGTCCCAGTACGATTATCATGCGCATAATTCGGGCTACATTCGTGCTCGATGTTTTTAGCTGTGAGGTGTGCTTCAAGGTGCGAGGGGCAATGCAGGTACCGGTTAGGGCTTTGTCGTAACCAGACGCTCCGGCGAGGTCGGATGCCGTCACGCTCTCACCCGCCCTGGCGGAGAGAATTTTGAATAGCCCCATATCCACCGCAGCGACGAGATAGATGTTCTGCACTATCTATCGGTAAGCTCAGCGATGGTGGAAGGCACACTCGGAAATGCCGCACGTACGTGAAACCGCTGCTTCATGAGAAACACATGCGGGGGTTCCGTGGCCCGCCGCAATTCTTCGATGGCATCCTGAATCGGAATCCAGCTGGAGGAGTCACTGGGATCGTAGGATGCAACTGCTTGCTGGACCTTACCAGCCAGGCTTTCAATCTCCGATTTGTCCATGCTTTCTCGGTGAGGAATGGAGCACGGGCGAAAGCAAAGAGTCTTGGGGTGCTCGTGGAGGTATATTTATGTCGGCCCTGATTCAAACCCTGTCGGCCGCGGAAGTCATCTGGTCAGATGCAAGTGAGACCTCAACAGAAGTCAGGCCTCCAGCCAAAGTCTAATTGATAGGCTGATGAGAGAAACCATCCTTGCTTATGCGCCAGCGGAAATTTCCGCAGCCCCACGAGCCGACCCAAGAGCGGTGCTCTATGTCTTGATGCTGATGCTGGTATGTGTTGGTGACATATCCGTGGCACCTGAATGGCAGTTTGTCAATTGAGTTAATTCGATTTTCAGTTTATTATGTAGAACAGATCGTAACTTCCCACTAGGAAAACTGACGTGTCACGTGTTACCAGCCGATGCGGCAGTGAGTATTTCTGACCCTATTTTCTAGCTGAACGACGATTTCTTGCAATATTAGTGTATAATGACACAAACGAATCCTCAATAGTTGGCCTCGCTACTGCCTTCGTTGCGGGTAGTGGAGAATCAGCATCACAACTCGATCACTAACCAAATCATTCCATACGCGCAGTTACTGTACGTAATGCCGTACGGCGGGGCAGAGGCCGGCTTCCCGTAATACGGAAAAGAAACTTTTAGATGTATTTGTCACATACGGCCTCATCGCTACATTTGCCGTCCATCATCGAATGATACCATCAAACAGCAACGATTTGGAGTACCTGGGGTGACGATTGGGCAGTATAGCCGCTCGGTTGACCTGTTCGATGCGAGGGCTGTGCCATTCTCGGCGCCACGGTTCTGCCGGTCCTTGCTTCCCGTTGCTGCTACGCTCAGGACTCTCCGGTTGGAGGGCACCATTGCTTATAATACGGCGGGGCAGATTGAACAGTGGACCGATGCCGATTTCGCTGAGCATGCTGAGGAGCAAATTGGGTCTCTGATACCATTTACCGTTCTCGAGAACCTGGTGATGCGCCATAGTTTCCTCATTGGTGAAATCCCACTGAATGAGCTCTTGCCCGCATCTCTCAAGAGCTTGAGTATCGTGGACATTGTTGATGAACATTACCTGGATCTGTTGTCGGACCTGTGGACGTTGGTGCGCGACCAGACCTCCTCTTTCCAGCTGGAAGAGCTAGCCATTGATCTGGTAGGGCTAGCTGAGGAAACACTGAATCCTCTGAGAGGCGAATGTGAGGCCGCTGGTATCCGGCTGAAGTCTGATGTACCTCAATTAGATCCCTGCAGAAGAAGGGGGGGCTTTCCATACCGTTATGTCAGTTCGTGATACATTTTCATTTGTCTGAATAACCACCACACTACCAAGAGAACGCCGTTTCCAAGTAGTGCGACGGTTGTAGCTAGGAACTACATGCTGAATTCACTGCGACGACAGCAGACTGTAGATGAGATAAGATATAGAATTCAATATATTGATAAGCAATTGTCGGGGCACCAAATCGGGGATATCCTGTCTTTCTGAGGAGACGGGGCCAGTGAATTCAGAGCGAGTTCTGCCCTTCTTGGAATGATGAGACGTCAAGCTGATGCGAGTTGCGAGTCCATGCAGAATCTGCCCAATCGATATTGCGTCAACTTACAGGGGTTGACCCATTGGGAAATGATTGTCACATGCAGTGCAGCGACCGCAGTGCCCCTCTTCCCTTCGAGCTGCACCCCGCTTCTCTAGCAGTAGAGGGACAGCTGTTATCACAAACCCAGGTAGAGACTCTTATCTTTAGGAACATGGGGCCATCAAGATGGTTCACAGAAAAAGGGCTTAAATTCCACTTCTGTACTCACTACTTCCCAGAAAAGTGGTTTTGGTTAGCCCAAGCGATTTTTACACCGGCTCGTTCCCTTACCCTTGCAGCATGAAACACCTCAAAGCCCTACTTGTAGCAAACCGGGGCGAGATTGCCTGTCGACTTCTGGTAGCCGCAAAGTGAGTGCAGCCCCGCGTATCCACTGTGTCCGTTGATAGCCAAAGGGCCACAGGAAGCTTGGCATTCGCACGGTCGCTCTTTACACCGAATCGGATTCACGATCGGGGCATGTTGGCGCTGCTGATGAGGCAGTTCTCCTGACCGGGGAGGCCAGAGCTGCGTATATTGATGGGTGTGTAGCCACAAATCCACGCTCTACACACTACCCAGCTAAATTATGATCGCGTCCCGGCAGTGAACAGATTATCGCCATCGCTAAATCACGAGATGTGCAGGCCATCATCCCCGGCTATGGGTTTCTCTCCGAGGACGCCGCCTTTGCCCGGGCTGTTGCCGCGGCGGGCCTGATCTTTGTCGGACCCTCGCCCGAGGCCATCGAGTCTTTCGGTCTCAAACACACAGCCCGGGATCTGGCGCTGACGGCGGGCGTACCCGTAGTGCCCGGATCTCCGGGCCTTGTTCAGTCGGAAGATGCCGCCGTGGAAATGGCTCAACAGCTCGGCTACCCGGTGATGCTCAAGGCCACCGCGGGCGGGGGCGGCATGGGCCTGATGGCCTGCACCAACGAGGCAGAGCTGCGCCAGAATTTCCAGTCGACCAGATCCCGCGGAGAGTCGTTGTTCAGCAACGCGGGCGTCTTCCTGGAACGGTACTATCCGGATAGTCACCACATCGAAGTGCAGGTCTTCGGCAACGGGCAGGGAAGAGCCATCAGCATCGGAGAGAGGGAGTGCTCAATTCAGCGCCGGAACCAGAAGGTGGTGGAGGAGTGCCCCAGTCCTTTTGTGACGCAACGGTTCCCGGAGCTCCGGGCCAAGCTGACAGAGGCCGCGGTGGCGCTGGCGGAGAGCGTTCAGTACGGCTCCGCCGGCACAGTCGAATACCTCGTGAATAATGTGTCTGGAGACTTCTTCTTTCTGGAGATGAACACGCGACTGCAGGTGGAGCACGGGATCACTGAGATGTGCTACAACGTTGATCTGGTAGAGCTCATGCTACAACAAGCAGACTGCGAGCTCGGGGGATGCGGCGGCATTTTGTCGGAGGAGCTGGAGGCCCGGCAAGCACAGTGGCTGGAGCCATGTGGTCATGCTATTGAAGCACGAGTCTATGCCGAGAATCCGGCTAGGGGCTTCGCGCCTAGTCCGGGTCTACTTCAGGAGGTGAGGTGGCACGAGCCCCCCGGAACCCGGATCGACACCTGGATTAGGGCTGGTCTCACGGTTAGCCCCGACTATGACCCCCTCCTGTCCAAGATCATGTACCACGCATCCACCCGATCTGACGCGGTGGCTGGAATGGCAGAAGTGCTGGCAAAGAGTGTCATTTGCGGCCCCCCGGTCAATCTCGACTACCTCTCAGCGATTGTCGACGACGAGCGATTCCGTATGGGCCATACCATTACCAAGTTCCTCGACTCGCTGGACTATGCCCCTGCAGCCATTGATGTCATTTCTGGCGGATCATACACCCTCGTGGAAGATTATCCCGGGCGACCGTCCGTTGGTCACGGATTTGGTCATGCCGGTCCGATGGATCCGATCGCTTTCCAAGCCGCCAATATCCTCGTGGGAAACCCTCCGACCACGGAGGCACTCGAGATCACCCTCACGGGCCCCGAGCTTCTGTTCCTCGGAGACGCGATGGTAGTGCTCTGCGGCCCTCCCGTCCCTGCTACGCTGGACGGTCAGAAGCTTGTCCAATGGATGCGTGTTAGTGTCCAGGCAGGTCAAACGCTCAGAATCGGGAAACTAGCTGCGCAGTGCCGTGTATATCTGGCTGTCTATGGCGGGTTTCTCAACATTGCGAGCTGGTTCGACAGTAAATCGACCAACCCGCTGGTCGGAGTCGGCGGGTACCAAGGTCGGCCCCTCCGCGCTGGCGATTTCCTGCACATTGTCTCGCGGGACCAGCTTCCAGAAGCACGAGCCATCAGTATGCCACGCTCCCTGATCCCCCAGTATTCTACCGACTGGGTGATTCAAGTCATGCCTGGCCCATACGAGACCGGTTATCTGACCCTCAAAGACATTGAGATGTGCTTTTCAACAACCTGGAGGGTGAGCCATAATGCTGCACGGGGTGGCATCCGCCTCATCGGCCCGAGACCGGAGTATGCGCGTGGCGACGGGGGCGATGGAGGGTCCCACCCGAGCAACGTCTTCGAATATGGATACCCGATGGGTGGTCTGAACTGGACTGGGGACGAGCCGGTCCTATTCCCGGTGGACTGTCCGGACTTTGGCGGCTTTCTGTGCAGTCTGACCGTTATACGCGCGGACTTCTATAAGCTCGGCCAGCTTCGCGCTGGAGACACCCTCCGGTTCCGCCGGGTCAACCTCGATACTGCGCTGGCGTGCAGGCGCCGACACGGGCGCTTTCTGCAGAGGATGGCTTCCTGTGTGGCGAATGACTCGTGGGACGATGCTGTCGCTTTCGATGATGCGGCGCTGAATTACATTGCCTATACCCCGGGACAGGACGTGGTGGCTTCCCTGCAGGCGACTGAGTCGCAGCCCAAGGTGACCTACCGATCTGGAGGGGACGACTACCTCCTCGTCGAGTACGGCGATGGCAAGATGGACCTGGAGATGAAGTGTCGGTCGACAGCGCTGAAACGCGCCCTCGAGTCGGCCACCGGGAGGGTCTCCACAAACCGGAACCAAGGCGGCCAGATCTACAACCTGGTCGCGTGCGGAAGCTCGTTGGCCGTCTGGTACAACGGCCTGGGGCTGGAGCGAGCTGATCTGATCCGTGGACTGATTGAGATTGAACACAACCTTGGGGACATGCGCCGTGTCCGTTTGCCCATCCGTCGGTACCGGCTCCCTGTTACCTTCCGGCACCGGAAGCTGGTCGAGATGCTCGAGCGCTACACGACCACCCAGCGGTCGACCGCAGCCTACCTCCCGGACCCCTTCGCGTATGCAGCCGAGTTCAACGGCCTGACCCCGCAGGAGCTGAAGGAGGTCCTGTTGGCGGCCGAGAACGTCGTCCTCGCAGTGGGGTTCATCATGGCCTTGCCCATTGCCGTGGCCCAGGATCCCCGCCACCGCATCCGCACCCCCAAGATGAATCCCAGTCGCAACTACACCCCCGCTGGCTGCTTTGCCCACGGTGGCTCGTCAATATGTCTTTACCAGGTCGATGGCCCCGGTGGGTATATGCCCCTGGGAATGTCTCTCCCAACGCTCGATCTCTACGGCACAAACCCAGTCTTCCAGCAGCAGCCCTGGCTGATTCAGGATATGGATACAATCAGCTTCTTTGAAGTGTCAGGGGAGGAGTACGACCGGATAGTGGCGGACCTTCAGGCGGGGCGGTATCACTTTCAGGTCGAGGATGGTGTCTTCGACATGGCCGAATACCACCAACTGCAGAAGGAGACCGGGGCAGAAATGGAGGTAATTCGGCAGAAGCAACTCGTGGCAGCCACCCAAGCCACGGCAAGGGAGAAGGCTCTCCTGGATCAATGGCTCGCGGAGAAAGACGCGATGGTGCCTGACGACGATGAGGTAGCACGCTTACTGCAGGGTAAGTTGATTGGCACTCCTGGCTCTACATTCAGACCACCGGACTGATCTCATGCCCCTTTTTCTAGACGCGACAATTCAAGCGGTCGAAGCCCCGACCAGCGCCAACGTGTGGAAGGTCCTTGTTGAGCCGGGCACTAAGGCGACCGAAGGCCAGACCCTCGCAATATTGGAGGCGATGAAAATGGAAATCAATGTCGATGTAGCTGCGGCAATGGCGGGCGCCACCGTGGTAAAGGTCTTGATTCAGCCGGGGGGTAGTGTGCACAGTGGTCAGCCGATTGTACTTCTGCGTCAACAAGCACAAGAAGTTTGGACAGGTCGAAGAAGTGGGAAGAAGATGTACTGAGGTGAAAAACTTGCCAAACAGCCTTCTTCTCCCCAGTCACCCTACACGCCACAATTGAATCTTCGTCCCAAATTCCGAGATATAAGCACTGTATATAGAATTCCCTGCAATTGATTTACGAAGTGTGCCCTAATAAGCAAGGCGCTGATTGGGTGCACGAACCGTCAGCTCACGTGATATAATCCTGAGTAAATACTCAAGTGTATGTCTGTTCTTCTCCAGCTTGTTGCTCCTCTTTCCTTCCTTGCTTCGGCACCAGACCAACCTCTCATCATGAACCGCTTGCCAGTCGAAATAAAGCAAATGATTGCTGACGTGGTAAGAACAGTGACGTTTGCATTGTATTAATGAACCCCTCTAACCGCATCTGCTAGATCGGCGATGTGTCGCGGGATTCCCTGCGGGATTTATCGCAGGTGAACCATGAGTGGCACGAGATTGCCGGACCTGGCGTCTATGGAACCCTCCTTATCCACCTAGAGGCCAAGAAGCCAGCTCATCTTGACCGCGTGATTCGGCTTCTGGACGCTACCCTCATTCTACCGCTTGTGAAACACGTGATACTGTTGAATAGAGATACGAGGCGTTCCATAGCAGCAGCGAAGGACGAGAGGCTCTGTCGGTATCTACGCCAAAGTCCCCCGGAGGATATCATCGTCCCCGGGTTGGGTGTATACATGGGGGATTGGAACCCCATCATCCGCCTCGTGCAGCGGCTGACTTCGCTGAACCGCTTCGATTTCCTGATTCACATGTACTACCCGCCGGAACTGTTACATGTTCTCGCCCAGGCGCACCCGCACTGCCGCGTATCGGTATCTCCCCGCTGCAGCTTCTACCCAGCGGAGGACTTCTCGCGGAAGAGATGGGCTCAATCTCCGGTGCTACATGCGGTTCGGGTTATCTACTACGAAGATCGAGTCTATGAGACCGTTCACACGGAGCATCCCGATCGCTCTCTGCGAGATCTCCTACGCCAAGCGCCTCATATCAAGCAGGTGTCCTTGCAGATCAGCCCGAAGACGCCAGGCAGCACACGGCAGAACTACACCAAATGGCTCGAGTCCCGGCCGCCGGAGAGCGGAATTGATACCAGCCCTACGCGTGCGAGGCTGGAAATTTTGTCATTACCCTTAAGCACCACAATGACCGGGGACGGGTTCCAAGCGTGGTCCCGGGTGACCGACCTGGGCTACCTGACTGCATGGACGGCGGGCGCCCTAGAAGAGGAGAGCGCGCTGGCAGCCATCACAGACCTGCAGCCCTTCCGCGCCCTCAAGCGTCTCACCATCTCCCTCCAGCCGCCTGCAGACTCTCTACCCTCATGGTCCCAGACCATTCAGGCGATGTTCGACTCGCTTCCGCCGCTGACGTATCTCTGCCTTCTGGGCACGTACGATCCGATGATTCTCCCCACTGCCGTCCTCGACCGCCATGGCTCGACGTTGGTCGAGTTGAAGCTGCATCGTGAGACCCCCAAGTACCAAAGCTACGAGTCCACCCGGCTGGCGCAAAAGGGTCAGATCGCCCCGATGTTTCCCGCGGATGCGATTCGCCGGATGGCAGTCCGCTGCCCGAGGCTAAAGACGCTGCGCATCTGCGTGCAGCGCCACCGGGGCCACCCCACCGAAACGGAGGCCTACAAGGCCCTCGGCGAATTCCCGGCGCTGGAGACACTGGACCTCGTTCTCAACTGCCTCCCGGTGGTGCAGGACGACGGGACACCCTTCCCGCCGCGCGCGCTGAGTGAGTACGAGCAGGGGCACAACCAGGACCACGTGCCCAGATGGATTCTCCGGGACTGTGCCATCAACTGCGCGATCGACGCCCCGCTGGCCGCGGCCATCTTCAAGCGTATCCACCCGCGGCCGCAGAGGGGCACTCTGCGACTGCTGCGCCTCCACCCGCTCGCAGGCCACCACGGTCAGTATCGGGTGGCCCGTGAAATTAGCAACTCACAGGCTCTTCTTGCGCGCGGGTATCTCAACTTTCAGGTCATGGGGAAGTGGCAGGTCGCTTGGGATGGCGCCGGTTGGCTGCGGCCCCGAAACCGTGAGACAACACGCTGGGAAGGAAGGAGATCAGCAGTGACGAGCGCGGATCTTGAGATCTTTGAGTCTATTTGGCCGTTGGCCCGGGCAACCAAGGATTGGCCGTTAGACTGGCAGAGCTGGCCTCTGCAATAGAGACGCACTTCCTTTTTGTTCTTTGCCTCGACAAGCTCGTAATCGAGGCATCAGGTAGGAACGAAAAATAGCAGCCAGTAGCCGGTCTAGTTGTCGGGACGGATGTCTAGGGCTCACCTGTGAAACAATCTACAGCACAAGTCGCTCTGTAAGATCCATACTCATAGACAGGCTGTCTTCACGTTGTATGTGGTTTCATCTATCGGTCATGTGCAATCCCTTAAACGTAGTGTAGACTGATGAAAAGATCAAAGACCCACGTGGGATGATGGTGGGACCATCTACATAAGGATATTTAGGAGCAACTAGTTGAGAACCATTGAGGTGATCAGTGAGCGCCTGCTTGGCTACTAAGCCGGCGGGCCCTCGACAAAGTGTGATAACTGGTGATCGCGATACCTTACCTAGCCACCACCTTAGAGACTTGAATATGTTTCGGTGATTAGTTTTCAATACATGCAAAAGATATACGACCCAGCCCAAGCAAAGTGGGTTATTCTACTTGCAGATTTGTCCCTTGTTTTAGGCATGATATGAGCCCGAAGACATAGCATCGGCAGCTGAGGACAGAGTCATAGTGACTCGACCGCGCCACTATTGCTCCTGACTAGTCAGAAATAGCTCCCGTCTTCATGATCGAGCCGCCAGATGATATATATGACACTTCCTGATCTACACGTCCTGAACTGCTGCATTCTGATATCTGACGCATTACAAGTCCATGGATACTTTAGCTGACATTTCAATCTCCGTTTTGTCATTCTTCAGGTATAGACGAGAGTGCAGTAACTTTACCAACCCCGTTTCTGACCGGATGGATGTAAAAGGTCGCATTGCTCATCGCCTCAGCGCACAGCCACTTTTGGCGATGCTGCTCCTTTTGGGGAGTTGTCCGGATTAATCATAGAGCTTGGGCATATCACTATTCTGCGAAAAAAAAACATTAGCATCTCCATCTTCGCGGATCTGGCTGTGTGTTTTGGCTCCCCTACAGCAGTAGCAGGGCAAAGGTTGGTTTTGGCAGAATCTCTAGATTGCCAGGTTTTCACATCTTATCGTCAAAATGAGTCACAGTAAGCGGGCCTAGCGTGTTAGATATCGGTTTATGTGCCACTTAGAATGCGCTTAAGGAATCTGAATCATGAACTTGGTAAAGCACTCGTTCCCAAGACAACCAATGAGGGGGCCCATGCTCCTGCGGCTTTCTTACCTCGCATGTTTATATGTCACCGTGTTTCTTTACCCTGAGTTCAGTAGAAGCTCTCCGCCCTCCGTCACCCCCTCAGAATGGCTCATCAAGCCGACGGCATCTGCTGGGATGCCTTGACATCCAATCTCGTTTTCCAATCCCATCCCTCTGCCGATGTATCCGAGGCTACGAATCTGTACTTCCGCTTCAGGCCCCAACAGGGCCAAGAGATCGGCCAGTTCGCCGAGTCCCTGGCCCATGCGATCGCCAGCGAGACCGAGCGCGAGCGGCGGAAATACCCGGCGAGGTATGACCCACCCCAGCGAGACGATATCATCTTGGCCGACGAGGTAGCCCACAAGGTCCAGCCGCTGGCCTACGCATGGTGCCAGAACGACTGCTGGGAGTTTGGCTGGAAGGTGACCAACTCGCCAGACCTGTGTCGGCATGTCGAGAGTGAGGGCTTCGCGTGCGGATGCCCGCTGCCCTACAGGGAAAGACTGGGATCCGCCTTCCTGCGTCGATACCAACACAACGATTGTTTTGAATTCTTCCGGGTCAATGGTGATGCCTTTTTCAATCTGCAGGTGGTCAACGCCCTTCTAGTCTTGGGTGAGATGGACCCCGTTCTACGACTCTGCGCCCATCCGGCGATCGGGCTGCGGGAATGGATGGAAGTCCGGGAGTGTTGGGATACAGTAAGTTACGGTCGCATTTCATCACATCTTTCCGCACAGCCTCTTCCAAGGTCCAACAAACTGAATGTAGATCTCAGGAACTAGAAGTCGGGTGGGATCAGGTCTTCGAGGCCACGCTGGATTTCTACCTCCTTTTGAACATTCTGGACAGCTTTCGGGAGCTGCGGGCGGATAGTAGCCCCGGATCGGATGACTACCGCGACACGAAAATGTACCAACAAGCCCTCTTCCGATGGACGCAAATGCACTCGCAGGCCGAAGTTCCAAGCCAGTTTCATCGCCGGTTCTTCGGGCTGGAAGACCATTTCGAAGCGCCTTTCACCATCGACCGGCAGTTCCACCTGCCAATCATGGCCAAGCTTCTGGCCGAAGAACAGGCGAGGGTGCCCATCAGCGTCCCGCTCGACGACGAGGACGATCCCTACGCGCCATGTCTCTTTCTGAATGAAGATAACTTTCCATTTGGAAAGGTTCCGTTCGAGGTGTTTTTGACCTGCGATACAAATGCTCCCTATCATCCGAGTGCATCGGATATTGCGCGGGTGGAGGCTTATCTGCGACACAAAGGGTTGCCGCAGGAGTGGGTGTTGGATATCACCACATGGACGGAATACGATCGACCACGAAACCGTCTCCCCGTGCCACATGATCCCCTTCACGTGGGAAATCGGACGGTGCTGGAGAAGTACCTGAATGAGTGCTTCCGTATCATGGTCCGTTGTAATATGCTGGCGCAGGAACTGGGGATGGAGATACACTGGCCGGCCCGCGTGGTACACGCCCTCGATCGCCTCGTGTCGAGTCCCACCGGCCAGAAGCTTTTTGTGCGAAGTCAGTCTCAGATCATCTTGCAGGGTGGCGATGGGGAGTTTCCTTGGAGTACACACCAGTAATGGACCAGCGGCATCTCTCTCACTGCCTTAATGGAACAGGGGTTGAGTCGTATGGCGACTGCAAAACGACGCGGAAAGAACCAAAAATACCTTCTGAGGACCCTGAAAAGTATGCTTGAACATAGAGTAATAATCTAGTCTGCTTGCAGGTGCTGCGTAGTCGGGTGCTGGGAAACGTTTCTTACAGGGTTACGGTAGAGACTCAAAACATCGCAAGCATCGAAACCCACTCCACTTCACTATCTAGAAATTTCAACCTCACTTGCCCGCCCTCACTGTACCCACTAGTCGAACAACAAATCGTTGCCTCCAATCACCAATCCTGCAACCGCTCAGCAACAGTACGGATCAATAATTCCACAGCAAGTATATGAACGACCCGCGACCGTGGTCGATATTGTCGCTGAAGCCCTGGAAGCCCAGCCTCTGCGCGGTGGCCGCATTCATGGGCTCGCTCCGCCGCGCAAGCACCACCTGCCTCACATGCCGCTCGCCCTCGCCGCCATAGCGAAACTCCAAGTACCGATACAGCCCGCCCGCTCCCTTGGCCAGGTCCAAGGCCCCCTCGCGTGCGTGGTCAGAGAAGACGACCCGGATGTCGGAGATGCCGGTGCCTCGCTCTGCGTGGTACTGGGCCACCAGCCAAACGAATCTGCAGGGGTTTCGCTTCTTAGTCTTTCTCAGGGCTCGATATGTAGGGTAACAGCGTAAGGGGAGGAAGGAAGTGAAGGGGAGAATAGTTGCGTACTTTCCACCGTACCCGGCATTAATGTCCCCGTTGTCATTGTTGAGAACTGGGATGGTGTTGTCGGGTTTGTCACTTGCGTGGTCGCCGTACACAGGCTTTGAGTGAGAGAAGCAGATTAGCTCTGTAGAGAAGAGTGTAGCAGGGTGAAGGGAAATGAAGATATACTCCAAGGGTACCGAGCCAGCCCATATTGACTGATTTATCGAATAGTTGATGTGCGAACTGGGGCTTTGTCGAGGATTGGTTTGCGGGATAGATAATTATTGTCGCGGATACTTTACTGCTGTCGTTCTTCAGTCGAGGAAGTCATTCTTTTATACTTGGGAAATCACCTCAGCCAGACATCGTCAGTACTAGGACTCAGTAGTAGTAAACTTGAGCCTCACACCCTTGGCTTTGTCGAAATAGTTCGCAACATCAAAGGAACATGTCTTGGCCTTCAGCCAAACAATTCATACGAGCGCCCAGTAAAACCCTCATTACGACCGACGAACACTTGGTCGCGATGCATTACAAGTTGCATGATGCAAACAATACCAAGAGGAGGCTCTGCTCATGGTCTGACTCTTCAGGTCATAGTAGTCGTCTCCCCGGCTTCCAGAGCAAAAGCAGCTGTTCACGGATGTCTGAGATATTTCTATCAGCTGGAAAAAGGTGGCTTGCAGTGGCAGCTTGTTAATGTCAGCGGGGTCTTGGGCGATCGCCGCACGGGTCTGTGCACTATCGGGTACTCCGAGGGCGTCTCGTATTCGCCGGGGTACATTGCGTCTTAGGGTTTGCTTGAAGGGGTCTTTCCAGCTACATGCCGCGGAATATCTTCGCTACGTGTAGTATTAACTTGTTTAGAAACAATCGAAAGTATGCTCGAGTAGCGCAGGCAGCGGAGTCACCGAAGAGCAAAGCTTCACTCGTCCAGGATTGACTGACCCGTTGGGCCAACACAGATAACATGCCCGAAAAGAGCATCACTCGCCTCATGCAGATTGGAGCAATCCTGATTCACCCAGTGATTATACGCCCGGATTGCCGAGACTCCAAGCCAGGGTTTCAAGTCAAGCTCGCGCTCGATTGAGTCGCACGTATCCCCATCCCTGAGGGTATGGGTCTTACACCTGAACGGAGTGCACAACCTCATACCCTCGGGAATCGCGAAACAGTCGATCAGCGGCCAGCTCACGGCTCGAACAGCCGCCGAGGCAACCTGGAATTGCGCCGCAATGCTGTCGCATGTGTCCCCTGGTGAGGTGGTGTATGAAAGAAGGGTCGCACAGTATGGGTCCCGGTCTATATGCGGATCCTCGGAGAGCACGAGCTTCGGGATGGCTGTGGGAAGGTTGAGATCACAGGCACGGTTGATGTGTTCGAGGCGCGATTTGTAGTTTTTGTCGTAGAATGAGAAGGGTGACGTTTGCATGACACGATGCCATTGCACGTTGCAGAAGGAGCAGAGTTCTTCAGTCGGCATTTCATCGATTAAGGATTTGCTCAAGCCGTTGATAACATCTGCACATATAATAGATGTGAGCACCACGTCCTATATCAAGACAGATCAAGAGAAAAGCAGAACCTACCACCACAGTATCTCCCTGTTCCCTCATCCCTAAGACAAGTCTCGTTCCAACCCGCCCACAGCTGTCCACCTCGCAGGGTTGGAAAAAGCATCCTCTCCTCCAACGTGGCGCAATCGCGCTCGACATCCAGAAACCACGTGGCGAGGGACTCCCCGCACCCGCTGTCACAGACAAGATCGCTAAGCGTGTCGTTTCCCAGACCCGGACCCTGCTGCCAACGCGCCCACTGCCGTTGCAAGGATCGCGTCTTCGCGTGACAGTGAATTTTCTGTGTCATCGATGCCCTGCATGACGGGCTGAGCTTTGAGAGCGTTCTGGCATGTAGTTTGTTATTTTCGCTCCACAGTTGGAAGCCGCGAAAGTTGGACGAAGAACTTGTATCATCACCTTGGGATGTTCCCAGGGTTCGTTGCTGTTGCGCGAAGTATTGAGCAGCGACATCAGGCCCCCTAGCTACTTGGGCAACTGTAGCACTGCATAGCAACATCCAGGTAAGTAGAATATCGGCACCTCCCATCTCGACGTGCGAACGATAAGCGAACACAATAGTCGATCTTTTCTATCGAATGATATGATATCATTCTCTGGTATCATGGCGAGCGAGGACATTCGATCAGGGATCGAATGGGTTCTTATTATTGGGTACCCACTAAACTGAAAAGAGCGAATGTTTTCCGAGGTACTCCGTAGTTAGCATCGCTTCACACGCGCTGAGCCGCCAGCAAGCCTAACTTAGGTGACTTGAGATATCCACATTCCCTGGATCAATGCGCGATGATTTGCCCTGAAGCTCGATTGGCTTGCCGCCAAGCCAATAGTCTCTGAACTCACGTGCTGCTAGAGTTCAGATTGTCTAGGCCATAGGCAGCAGAATACATACATCAAACACATACGACCACAGGGTGTGGAAAACAGGGCTTCCCGTCCGCTCAGCCGTACTTAAGCCACACGCCGGGAGGTTAGTAGTTGGGTGGGTGACCA